GGGTGCTCGAGTTCTTCATCGCGTCCTTGAGGGACTCGACCGCGATCTCGAACCCTGCCTGGACGAGCGTCTTCGGGTCCGTGGCGTTCTCTGCGGATTTGGAGAGGCTAGACTCGCACGTGTCCTTGTAGACGGACGGGGCGCAGAGGGCTTTCACGGCTTTGTTGGTGGTGGAGATTTGGTTGCTTGTCGAAGTGCTTTTCTCTGCGGATTTGGAGATTTGGTTGTTGGGTATTAGCGGAATTGTGGTGGAAAAATAGGATCAACACAAAGGAAACTTTTGGTGTTTAATCACTCAATTTCAGAAACACTCAAAACAAACAAGGCCTTATTGTTTTGGCTCTTGCTTTACATACATACATGCATGGGAGAATTCTTCTTTTGTGTCTCTGACACTTCTTCCTCCTTCCTTCCCATACGTACAACACACATACATTTATATAATTGAAATATAACAAACTAATAATGGAGCACAACCATATACATGGCCCTTGTCTCTTCCACCATTATACATATACATGTTCTACAATAAATCAACCAAGGCCCATGTAATTAATCCATCCATTATTATTGTCTTCAACTTCTTATCAACTTGCTGTCCATGGAGAGTTATGATTTCAGATCCATCATTGGTGGTTATGCCCTCTTTTCATCTTGTCAAACTTGTAGTAGAACACTACATGTTCCAATATTATGGCATATGGAATTGTCCCTTGATGTGATTGTAGGTAGATAAAAAATCATAATTGCAAATTATCTTTTAACACCCTCTCTTAATTTGCAATCTGGATAAGCTTCTTGAACTTCTCGAACTTCTCAAGGGTGACCGCCTTTGTCATGATATCTGCTGGCTGATCATCGGTGTTGATAAATTCCATCACGATTAATCCTTCGTTGACAAGGTCTCGGATGAAATGATGACGCAACTCAATATGCTTCGATCTTGCGTGAAATACTGGATTCTTTGTCATGGCTATGGCTGACATGTTGTCACAGTGAATAATGGTTGGACCATTTTCACTTTGCTGCAAATCAGAAATTAATCTTTTTAGCCATACCGCTTCGCATGCTGCATCAGTAGCTGCGATATATTCTGCTTCCGCTGAAGATAGAGCCACAGTCTTCTGCTTCTTCGAACTCCATGAAATGGGTTTTGAACCCAAACAGAATATGTACCCCGATGTGCTTTTTCGATCACCCAGTGATCCTGCCCAGTCACTATCGGTATATCCAGTCAGCTTGATTTCTGCTTCTTTCTTGTACATCAGGCCCAATTTCTTTGTACCTTGAAGATACCGCAAAATTCTTTTGGCTGCTGCAAAATGAAGTTTGCTAGGTTCATTCATAAATCTTGATATAAGACTTACTGAATGACATATATCAGGCCTGGTATGTGTCAGGTAAATGAGTGACCCGACGAGACTTCTGTACAGCTTTCCATCGACTTTTTCAGCTCCATCATTGCGTTGTAATTTCTCGTTTAACGCCATTGGTGTTGAGATTGGTTTGCACGTTGCCATGTGAAATCTTTTCAGCATATCTTCGGTGTACTTCTCCTGTGAAATAAATATTTCTCCAGGTGACTGCTTCACTTGGATCCCAAGAAAATACTTCATGAGTCCCAAGTCCGTCATCTCATATTCTCTCATCATGGTACTTTTGAATTCTTCGATCATATGTTGACTTGTACCTGTGTAAATCAAGTCATCAACATATAAACAAACCATTAGAAAATCTTTTCCTTCTCCCTTTTTGATGTAGAGAGATGCTTCACTCGGACTTCTTTGAAATCCGTTTTGCTGAAAATATCGATCGATTCTGCTGTTCCAGGCTCTCGGTGCTTGCTTCAGCCCATATAAAGCCTTTCGGAGACGATAGACTTTGTCTTCTTCTCCTTTTTTCTCATAGCCTCGTGGTTGTTCCACATAGACTTCTTCTTCCAATTCTCCATTCAGAAATGCTGATTTGACATCCAACTGGTATACTGGTAACTCCAGTTGAGCAGCTAGAGCGAGAACTGTTCTGATGGTCTCCATCCTCGCTACTGGTGCATATGTCTCGTGAAAATCAATACCGGGCTGTTGTGAATAGCCCTTTGCCACAAGTCGAGCTTTGTACTTCTGGATAGAACCATCTTCATTGAATTTGATCTTATAGATCCATTTGAGACCTATAACCGGCTTGTCCTCCGGTTGATCAACAAGCTCCCATGTCTTGTTTTTCTCGATCATGGAAATTTCTGCATCCATCGCCTCATTCCAAACTTCATCTTTGGCTGCTTCTTCAAAAACTTGAGGCTCACAAGAAAAATATGCCACATGACTTGTTTCATAAATTTCTCGCAAAGACCTTGTTCTCAATGGAGGTGAATCTGAGTCTGTTACGATGTCTCTGAAGTTGTCTCCTTCTGGGCTAGGTGCAGAATTTCTTTCTGTACTAGCAACTGGATCTGGGTCGTTGCTGGGGTCTTCTGGAGTTGCTGAGTCCTCCAGAATTTCATAACTTGGTGGAGATTGAGGAGTTGGATTTTCCCAATTCCACTCCGCCATCTCATCAAAGATCACATCTCGGGAAACCACCACCTCGTTCTTTACTGGGTTGTAAAGACGATAGCCTTTGGATTCATCACTGCAGCCGGTGAAGATCAGCTTCTCTCCCTTCTGGTCAAACTTGTCTCGGTTTGGGGTAGAAATATGTGCATACGCTATGCAACCAAAGACTTTGAGGTGATCCACCTGTGGCCTCCTGTGGTGCCATGCATGTATCGGTGTCTTGTTCCGAACTGCTTTGGTTGGTGATCTGTTGAGGATGTAAATTGTTGTATTGACTGCTTCTGCCCACAAGTTGTTGGGAAGCTTCTTGGCTTTGAGCATACTTCTCGCCATCTCCACAATCGTGCGGTTTTTCCGTTCCGCCACGCCATTTTGTTGTGGTGTGTAACGGACCGTCAGCTGCCTTTTTATCCCGTTGTTGCGGCAATACTCCATGAACGGAGTATAAATAAATTCTCCTCCACGATCTGTACGGAGAGTTTTGATTTGATGGCCACTTTCCTTCTCAGCTACTGCTTGGAATTGAAGGAACTTGGGAAAAGCTTCTGACTTTTGCTCTAGAAAGAATACCCACATCATTCTGGTGAAGTCATCTACAAATAGTAGAAAGTATCTTTTGCCGCTGAGTGATTGTGTTCGCGTTGGACCACATATGTCTGCATGTACCAACTCCAGTGGCGCTTTTGCTCTCCAAGATGTCTTTGGAAATGGCAAACGATGCATTTTGCCATATATGCACCCTTCACATATTTTGTCTTCTCTGTTGATCTGGGGAAGTCCCACCACCATATTTTTCTGCCTCAGCAATTTGAGGCCCTTGAAGTTGAGATGACCGTATCTGAGATGCCATAGGAAGGATTGATCCAGATTTTCACTCTTGAATGCTACTTCACCATTGTGTGACATAGCAAGAGAGAAAATTCTGTTGGAAGTCATCGGGACTTTGGCCACCATAAAATTGTCTGCTTTGTTGATAATCTCGCACACGCCATTATCAAACAATAGCTTGTAATTTTTCAGCATCAGTTGTCCCACGCTAAGTAGATTGAGAGTTAGCTCCGGAACATACAAAACATCTCGAATGAGAGTTTTGTTGCCTTCTTCTGTGCATACAATAACTGTGCCTTTTCCTTCCACTTTTAGCTTCTTCCCGTCTCCCAATTTGACTTGAGAGCGGTATTTGTCATCGATGTCGGTGAAGGACTCCAGATCTCCAGTCATGTGGTTACTGCAACCACTATCCACCATCCAGGGAAGCTGTGATTTTTGCTCACCATACAAGCATGACAAGGCCACCATATTGCTTTCTTCATTTTTGGTGCCGCTTGACTCGCCATCTTCTTGCTTGTTCTGGAACCAGCAATCTCTTTGGGAGTGGTTTTGAATTTTGCACTTGGTGCACTTGAATCTGCAGTCTTTTGTTGCATGACCCGCCTTTTTGCAAATTATGCAACTCGAGCCGGTGTAGCCCGATCTTTGTTGTTGATAATTTTGTCTGTTGTTTCCTCTGTAATTGGATCTTCCTCTTCCTCTCCCTTGTGAGTTTCCCCCTCTCTGGCCTTGCTCCGATTTGGCATATTTACTTTCCGCCATGTTGACTTTTGACGAGAAAGCTTGCTCCAATGGCGGTTTGGTGAAGCGGCTCATTCTTTGCTCGTGTGCTACAAGTGAGCCCATCAACTCGCTCATTGGTAGATTTGCCAGATCTTTGGTTTCTTCAATGACAGCAACAATATGCTCGAACTTTGATGATAAACTGCGGAGAATTCTCTCCACAATTTTTCTTTCTTCCATGACATCACCGGTGGCTTTGATTTGGTTGACTGTCTCTGCCACCCGCGAATGGAAGTCTTTGATGGTGTCGGTTTCCTTCATCATCAAGTTGTCGAACTGTCGCCATAAACTTTGGCGCCTGATAGAGATTGCCTTTTCAGAACCTTGAAATTGTTCACGCAAGACATCCCAAGCTTCTTTGGCCTTTTTGATGCCATAGATTCTGGGGTAAATTGATTTGCTCACTGCTTGCTGAATGATTCTCAAGGCGCTGGCATTTTGCTTGGCATTCTCCTTGTACTCCTTTGTCTGCTTGCCTGATCGTTTCTTCGAGTCTTCATCATCTTCCTGTGGACTTTCATAGCCATCTTGGACTATATCCCACAGATCTTGAGAGATGAAAATTGGCTCCATTTGGGCACTCCAGTACTCGTACAATTCTCCATCGAAAATGGGAATTTGATTAGAAGAGGTAGCAAACATGGTGTTTGAGGAAGTTGTTGCCATGGATTTTTGAGAGGATTGGGTAGCCTAGAAATTTGGGGATTTTTGAGAGGATAGAAGGGTATTAGCTCTGATACCAAATTTGTTGGGTATTAGCGGAATTGTGGTGGAAAAATAGGATCAACACAAAGGAAACTTTTGGTGTTTAATCACTCAATTTAAGAAACACTCAAAACAAACAAGGCCTTATTGTTTTGGCTCTTGCTTTACATACATACATGCATGGGAGAATTCTTCTTTTGTGTCTCTGACACTTCTTCCTCCTTCCTTCCCATACGTACAACACACATACATTTATATAATTGAAATATAACAAACTAATAATGGAGCACAACCATATACATGGCCCTTGTCTCTTCCACCATTATACATATACATGTTCTACAATAAATCAACCAAGGCCCATGTAATTAATCCATCCATTATTATTGTCTTCAACTTCTTATCAACTTGCTGTCCATGGAGAGTTATGATTTCAGATCCATCATTGGTGGTTATGCCCTCTTTTCATCTTGTCAAACTTGTAGTAGAACACTACATGTTCCAATATTATGGCATATGGAATTGTCCCTTGATGTGATTGTAGGTAGATAAAAAATCATAATTGCAAATTATCTTTTAACAGTCTTGAGGTTGTCGATGTGGATGTAGGCCTTGGTGGGGTCGAAGTTGTCGAGCTCGTCCAGAGACCGTCTCAGGTCCTCGATGGCGGTCTCGATGAGGTCGTCGCAGATCTCCAAGGTGCGCTTCGCCCTGGGGTCCTGCGCGACCTCCTTCAGGGTGCTCGAGTTCTTCATCGCGTCCTTGAGGGACTCGACCGCGATCTCGAACCCTGCCTGGACGAGCGTCTTCGGGTCCGTGGCGTTCTCTGCGGATTTGGAGAGGCTAGACTCGCACGTGTCCTTGTAGACGGACGGGGCGCAGAGGGCTTTCACGGCTTTGTTGGTGGTGGAGATTTGGTTGCTTGTCGAAGTGCTTTTGTCGCCTCCTCCTCCGCCGCTGTCTGTGGGGTTGTTGCTTACGCCGATGGCTACGGCGACGACCATGGCGACTAGGAGGATGGAGGAGACGCTGGGCCATCTTCTTCTTCTGGTCACCCTCGTCGCCCATCTTAGTGTTGCGGGAAAAATGATTTTATCAAATTTGTTTTTTTCTTCTTTTTAATATTTTTTAATTAGTTATTAGGGTTTTATTTGCAGAGTTTGGTTTGGGGGCTTTTTTCCACTGAAAACTGGGGCCCCTCACTGGCTCTACCTTTTATTTTTGTTAAGAATGACGGAATGAGTTTTTTTTTTTTTTTGTTATTTTCCTGTTAGGATGGAGATGAGATTTTAGTTATATAGTAGGGGAAGATGGAAGAAAGGAAGAAGGTGAAGATGAAGAGAGGAAATATTTTCAGCCAATATCTCTAAAAATATTTGGGGTTATTTTTAAGTTCTAAAAATGAATTTTACCAATAAATGAGTAGTTTCCTACTTTCATTTTATTTTGTTGGAAATTTTCTCTTTTATTAATAGCAAATTAATTTGCTTGAATCTGGATTTCTAAATGCCTAAACTATTGAGTGTTTTAGTACGAGCACTTGTACTATGCTATATAGTATTGGTGTTTTAATGTACAACTTAAAGTTGTACCTTAATATTAAATGTATAAGTTTAGATTGTACCATAAAACAATTTGTACCATTATGTTATGGTACAACTTTACAACTTGAAGTTGTACCATCACATAAAGGTACAAGTTCAAGTTGTACTATAAAAGAATTTATACAAAAAGTATAGGTACAATATGAAGTTGTACCATAACGTAAATGTACAATTTTAAGTTGTACCATAATGGCAAAACCCTATAGCATCAATACTATATAGCATTGTAAAATTTCTCGTTTTAGTACATGTTTGATTGGTTGTGGTTTATAATTCTCATACAGTCCATCTCAACAAAAAAAAGAAGTTACTTCTTCCCCCGATGGGAAATCATCTTTGGTTTCTTATATTTGTGAAACAGTTCCCTTTGGTTAGATAGAGAGTAATATTTCTTACAACTACTAAATAATTAGTATCAGCCTGTACGAACTGGATTTTGATGCATGATGAATTTGTTTACACCTAGAATAACTCCAGCAAATAAGCACCGGAATGATTCCACAGCGTAACAAAATAATAATAATTACTATTACTATTACTATTACTATTACTATTACTTTCGTTGAATGTACAAGTACAACAACACCAACACACTATCCATTGGAATCAGACCTTAGAAGAACGGTTTGACACAAGTATGAGCATGGAATTAGACCTAGTTAAAGCACAATATATATTTGGGTGACTTCTTTTATTTTATGAGCATGGATTTAGACCTTAGAAGAACAGTTTGCCACAAGTAAGTAACAGAGAAGACTGTTTAAGGGCAACCAGAACATGCAAAGGAGCATTTGACTTCCAAAAATGGGAAGATAATGGATACCAAACACGAAAATCTATCATTTTCTGCCTGTATATATGAGAAACTTGGAGCTTCTTTTCTATAAGGTAGAAACTTGGAAAATTATGCCTCCATATTTCCGTGAGAAACCTGCAATAAGTCATTAAAGTTATCTTCAGCTACAGTTAGAAGCCGTGTAAAGCGGGCGAGTGGATAACACTTGCTCTCGGCTGCGGTGATGCTTAGGAGAGTGTTCTGAACAATCATTGAAAAAAGAGAACCCCGAGCAGAACCATTCCCTGTGCAGCAAGTGACACTTCACTGTACATCGTGACTCATAAACACTATTTCGACTAGGATGGAACTCTAGTGAGGGCGGCCACACGTAAAGGCTCTTTCAGCCGGGACAAGATTTAAACAGTTTGGTTCCATTTTGACTTTGGTTTGCCTTCTGGTTGGGAGCTCTCTACGTAGCCCTAGCGCGCGTAGATTGCACGGCGGACTTTTTCTGCCTCGAGTTCTACAACCCTGCGCCATGATGATGGAGACTGAAGTTCTTTCTAAGCCTGGAAATGCAACTGAAGGGACTGATGAGAGAATAGAGAAAATATGAGGCTTTTTAGCAGGGAAGCAGAAGAGAGAAGATGAGGGGACTGATGAAAAGAGAGAGGTCAAAGATATTTTGTTTTCTTTCTTGGTGGGTTAAGCACCACGTAGCTAGCCCATTTGATGGTTTAATTTTGAGCTGCTCATTTAATCTATCGGCGCAGTACTCTATTCTGTATTCTCTCTCACCGAGGTCAGAGAAAGAGATCTTGAACATCTCTCCCTCTTTCTCTCAGTCCTCTCTCTCCCTCTCTAAATGCCCCATCTATGTTTTTCCTTCCCAATCTCTTTCTCCGGAGGACACTCGCTCGAGTCGAGAGTCTATGATAGCAGCACAGTAGTTGCCCGGTGTTGGTCTCCGCCTCACACATACGATCTCAGGTCTCCCTCCCTCTCTCTCTCTTTACATCAGTCATGGACTTGCCGGTCTTTCGTGTGTTTTTAATCCGCTCTCTGTTTTTGTTGTTGACAAATCTAATACGCGCCCTCGAGGAAGTAGATCTGGTATCTTAGAGTCAGAACCGTTGTGCCTAGAAGAAATGAGTTATATAGCGACTCTGCAAGGTGAAGGGTGAGATCTCTTTGTTCTGTTTGTTTTTCTTTTACTTTCTTCCTGCTTTCTTTTTCAATTTCCAGTTTATTTCTCTGAGCTCTTTTGTCTGTTATTAGGAAAGCATCACAACTCGGAGCAATCAAATGACGCCTTTCAGAGGACATAGAAGGATTATGATCCAGATTTTTTTGGATATTGTGGTTCAGGTGCTTGTTCCTCTCCCCATCTCCATTTGATTTGTTTTGTCTTTTTCCCTAAATGATTTGTTGTACAGAGATGCTGACGTGTTGATTTTTTCAGCTAGTGGGTTTTGTTGGGGCACGGATGGAGTGGCCCGCATTCATGGAGGCGTTTGAGAGGTGTGGCTACACACCATAGAATATTTGGACCTGGTGCATGTCTTTGGTTTTAGGTAATTTTTATCTCTTATGAGTTTGCTATATTCAACAGTTCTATTTGTCGGCCAAATTCGTCGGTTCTATATTTAGTGTCATGAGATTTCTCCCCCTGATGAGTTCGTGTTTCCGTTCATACAATTTGGTCCACTATAATAGGCATCTCTGTAAGAACGGGATCCAAGGCTTTGTTTCTCAGTTGCTAAATTCGGCATGCCAGGGAATTGGAGTAGTTGCGCCTTGCGGGAGTGAATGAGTTCCTGGTGATTTTTTTCCCGATGTCCGTCAGTCTATTTTGACTTCTTATGACTGCTTTTGTCTGTATGTTGTTAGCTAATCTCGCTGTTCAACCCATTCTTTGTTTGAGTTGGGTTTTGTCCGTGAAGTAGTAGGCAGTAAAGGGTAAATGAAGGCAGGGTAAGGCTATATATATGCAAGGTAACACTGCCATTTGAATTGGTGTTTGCCAAATCCAAGTAGGTCGTGTGCTCATGGGATTTCCAGTTGTGTTTTGTCTTCAAAACTTGGAACACGATATCTCCTGCTATAGTTCTCAACACAATGTGCTGACAGTTGATATTTGATGGAGTCCACATTCATCATGTAATTGGGACTTCGGAGGACCAAAAATGCAAATAGTTATTAAATCAAGGGAAGACCAAAAATGCAAACAGTTATTAAATCCCTTTTCTCCGCACTCACACCAGTGGGGCTATGTGACCTTTGGCGGTCTCTCTTGCCTTCAATCTCAAACAAAAGGGTATATCCTCATAAAAAAAATAGGGGTATATCCCAAACTAAGCAAGTTACAAGTAAAAGTAGGGTATTGGTAATTTGGTACGTATCATATACCCTCATCACTCAACAAATCTTGTGTTTGAATTTTGAAAATTTTAGTACTACTAGTTAGATTTATGCACTAATGATTATGTGTAAATTTCACAAGTAGGAATTGATTTTTGTTTGGATAAAATGTGTTTTCACATATGACTCATGTTATTGAATCATGTTTTGTATAATTTAAATTAACATTTGTTAAGTATACTATTATTTGCAGACTTCCAATAAGCCAAACGGCTAAAATAAGATGTGATGACTAACGAACGACGTCGCGATAGCTCATGCTAAGATGAGTAGAGAGAGAATCTTTGTGAAAAAAGTAAGGATGAAATTGAGACTTGAGAGTCCATGAACACAACTAATGTAACCACACGAAGTGAGGCTTGGCATTTTCTAGTAATGACTTTCTTTTCACTAGCTGGACAGACAATCAAAACAATTTGTGACTTACGTGATGACTGGAATTTAACAAAACTATGCTCTAAAATTTGGATGTTTTAATGTACAACTTGAAGTTGTACCATAATGCTAAATGTATAAGTTTAGGTTGTACCATAAAGGAATTTGTACCCTTATGTTATGGTAAAACTTTACAACTTAAAGTTGTACCATCACATAAATTTACAAGTTCAAGTTGTACCATGAAAGAATTTGTACAAAAGAGTATAGGTACAATCTAAAGTTGTACCATAACGTTAAATGTATAACTTCAAGTTATATCATAGACCTCCTACCATACCTTGAAGTTACTATAACTTGACGTTTTTGACCTGCTATAGCAGGTTTTATAGGTCGCGTTACGTAAAATTAATGTTTATTACGTAACAATTACGTAATGCTTGTTAGTCTTACGTAACAGTTAAACTAGAAGCGTTACGGAAGGTTTCCGTAACGACTTATCATTTTACGTAACGGTAGGTTAATATTCATTACGTAGAAGCATCGTCTATTACATAAGGCTTCCGTAATGACATTTTACAACTGTTACATAAAATACACGTTCATTACGTAAAGATTACGTAACGAAGGTTATTTCTTACGTAACAGTTAAATTGGAAGTGTTACGCAAGACTTCCGTAATGACTTACCACATTACGTAACTTGATAAATATCATTACGTAAAAGGACCATCCATTACGTAAGGCTTCCGTAATGCCACTTTACAACTATTACATAAAGTATGCATCTATTACGTAAAGGTTACGTAACGATAGTTATTTCTTACGTAACAGTTAAATCAGTAGTGTTACGTAAGCCTTCCGTAATGATTCAACAGATTACGTAACGAAAAGTTAATATTCATTACGTAAAATGAGTGTCTATTACGTAAGGTTTCCGTAATGATATTTTTCAACTATTACGTAAGATAAACACACATTACGTAACCATTACGTAATGCCTATTGTATTTTACGTAATGCGACTTGTGAAACCTGTTATAGCAGGTCAAAAACATCAAGTTATCATAACTTCAAGGTATAGTAGGAATTTCCCATATCTTTTACACCTGTCGGAATCAGAAATTCTAACTATGAGTTTTGTTTTTCTTAGTGAAGTCATTAAGCCGCGTTTTCTTTAAATCAGTGTTTTGATTAAGATTTACTTAACTGATATCCATAATTGAGGAATTTTACTATGCTATATAGCATTGGTGTTATAGGTTTCTATCTTTATGATGTATCCTCCATCTTTACGGCTCTGCATTCAAGCTTCAAGCAGGGAGGATATTATTAACCCTAACAAAAAACAGATTCCAACCCACAAAGCCCTTTCTAGCTCTATAGCTTGGTGTCCCGTAGAGTAGAGATAAGCAAAGAATATGGTTCCCAAACCGCCCTTAAGATAGAGGCTACACAATCTTGTAGCATTAGCATCCCTTTGTGTCTCTTGTAAAATAGAGGCAAAGAAGTGATAGATGGAAGGGTATCTTGTTCTTTTCCAAGATTCTTGAAATTTTGCAAAGAAATGGAAGATCTTTTTGACAGGGGTACAATAATTTGCAGAAAAATTTAGAGTGCGGTATAAGATCCAGCATAACTTTTTTTCAACAACTCAAGTTATTGGGACCAACTGGTTTATGACATGGTATCAGAGCTAGCTTGACTGCATTGGTCGTGTGTTCCAATCTCCACGACCTCCAATATCAACAGTTGATTAAGGCACAAGGTATGGTGGGTCTGTGCAAACTTCAAGCCCGTGAGTTGGCTTTCGTTTGATGGGTCGTGTTAGAGTGTGGTATAAGATTCAGTATAACTTTCATTCAGTATGATTCGGTATAACTTTTTTCTAACAACTCGAGTTATTGGGACTAACTGTTTTATGACATTGAGAAATTGGGAATATTGGACATTGCCAAGGTGGGAGATGTGTATATCATGTGACTGGATCCCCCAAAGTAATGAGTTATATGGGCAGGAATATGCCAATTGGCCAAAGTCTAATACTTTGAATTAGACTAATCGAGACAAAGAACCAGAATAAAGGCTCGCCTATAGTACCCTATAGCTGATATACATGGACATTAATAGTATGTGAGGGAAAGGCTGGAATTTCGTTATTAAGGGGTCTTCTGTAAGTTGCGATTGTTAGTGTTGTATTTGTTAAATACATGCATTGTGCACAATACAACGTTTGGAAGTGTCAAGTTGCAAAAGAAGGCATGTATTGTTTTGTGTGGGTCCCACCAACAATCAACAAAAATGAGGGATTGTACTTGTACAATCTCAACTAAAAGTTAAGATTGTTGCGGTTGTTGATTTAATAATTGAGCACCTTTACTTTTTCCAATTATGTACATAGTTCTTTTTGTTTTATATTAAAAGTGGAGGACAAATATGACATTTTCTTATAAAAAGTAACTTTATAACAATCAATTCATAAATTATAATCTCAACAACCAAACAATGTAATTTCAAAATGCATCTATTGTATCAATGCATGCATTTATATCACAGTGATTCATAACAATACAACGATTTAACATACGCAACTTCCAAACGACCCCTAAATATCTGAAAATTTGTTCCAGTAAAGCAAGTAGCTTTAGATATACTAAAGTCTCACCTGAAAGTTGGTTAGAGAATCGGATAAAGTTGGATCACTTTTCGAACACAGAAGTGGCTGAGGCATTTAGGTATATAACCGTTACTCAACTATATAACAAGACATCAAAAACCGTTACCAGTCTTTTATCACAAAGCAAAGAGCAAACAGAACAAACCACCTCACCTACAAACAAAAAGGGTTATAGAAAACAAAAAAATTAAACCACAGATCCATGGCACCTCAAGGAGACAGGCTTGTGATGATCGGAGAAGAAGGGTTCTCACTGATCGACGAACACTTCTACGCCGGCCAAGTCCACAGCCGCTACCAAACCCAGCAGAAGGAGCTGCAGCCCTGCGTTTACTATGGGCCGCGAACAGCGACGGTGACGGTGAAGGTGCCGGCGGCTATGGAGGCGACTAGTTACTACTACGGCGGGAGCAATCAACCGGCGGGTAGGGAGGAGGAGCAGCAGCCGCTGGTGATGACGTGTGAAGAGGCGGCCCAGAAGTTTGGTGGGCTTGTGATTGCGGACCACGGAGCCAGGAGGAGCAGGAGGCGTTCTTCTGCTTCTTCTCAGTTGGGCTTTTGATGGGCCCGTATGACGAGATCTCAGCTGAAGCCGTGACAGAGTGACTCAGCTTTTTTTAAAATTGTCAGCTGTGTTACTGCTTTTGAGAAGATACAAGTATCAGTATCATATTAGAAGTGTCGTAAGTAAGAGCTTTTTTTTCCCCCCCTACTATTGTCTGTGTTGCTAAGCTCTTAGTTATAATTTAACTAGTGCACTCGTGTGGTAGAAAGTCGAGGTGTGCCCTGTGTTTTAATAGTTAGAGTTCATAGAGAAATTGATGATTTTGAGTCATGTAATGAAACTTGAGTTAAGTATGTACTTATTTATGTATCATATGGTAATGTGCGATGGGTCATGTTCGTATTTGTGATTCTACCCATGTCATAAAACATCTGGTCCTAAAAACTGAAGTTGTTAGGAGAAGGTTGTGTTGGGTCTTATGAAACTCTCTAACATGCTCCCTCAAACGACACTCAACTCATAGGCTTGAAGTTTGCACAGGACCACCATACTTTGTGCTTTAATCAGCTATTAATATTCAGGGTTGTGTAACTGGTTCTTGAAGTGGTATCAGAGTCTGGTTAGGCAGAAGAGCCTAGTTACTCTCTCAGTACGGCGTAGGTCGAGTATGAGCCAATCTTATGCCAGAATGAGAGGCGGTCTTGGGTGTGCATCAGACGGTCCGGACGCTGATACACCTGTATTGGGCCATTGTGGGGGACCTCGACATGCGGAGGATGCAGCGGTCGAGCGAATGTCGTTCAATCGAGGAACTAACTCTCACTACAAAAAACTGCTCCTTTTGCGACGAATTCTATTGCGACGACAAAAAAATCATCGCAGAAAGTGAACATTTTGCAACGAAATTTGTAGTTTCGTCGCGCATTGTGTTAATATTCTGCGGTAGGTGAGGTATAGGATTTTGCGGCGGTCTTTTATTTTTCACGACAAATAGTTTTGTCGCAAAAAGTTCCGGTGACTTTCTGCGACGACTTTCATCGTCGCCGAATAGTTGGATATTTTCTGCGACGCATATCTTCGTCGCAGAATGTTCGAGACTTTTTGCGACGAATATCTAGCTTCGCGGAATATGTGAAAACTTTTGCGACGAAGTTTTTAGCTTTTCTGTGACGATTGTGTTCCGTCACAGAATGTTCCAGGCTTTTTTGCGACGATTGTCTTTCGTCGCAGAATGTCTGAGCCATTTTGAGAATTAAGAATATTTAGTGGATGAGTACCTATGCACATAACTAAGTAAAAAAAACCTTATCGCATTCAATTGATTTGTGATTTTCGTATGAAGAAATTTTATTTAATAAAAGGCATAAAAAACATATGATTATTTAATAGATTGATAAATCTTGACATTTTATTTAAATGTCTTTATTGAATCATATTTGGTTTGTAAATTAGTTGAAGATAACCTTTGAGCTCCGGTCCCATAAACTCTACATGATTAAGTGTTTAAAAGATTTAGACGTACAAGGACAATTGGAATTAGGTTTAACCGAATGTTTCGAAGGACTTTGATTGAAATCTTAGGCTTTAACTAATGCTCAAATAAGAACGAAAAGTTAGATATAACACATGGTTTAGTAGTAGTCTAGTTGGTCGAAACATTTGTCTGTGTGTGTATTGATGCTAGCTCGAGGTTAGCTGTTTGAATCCCCAACAAGGATTTTTTGGTTCTGCGACATGGTGAAAGGGTAGTCTGGCCAATTGAGTATCATTTAGTATATAAAGGATGATAGGGGAGGGAGTAGAAAACCCTAGTCGCCCAACTCATCTTTTCCTCCTCTCGTCTTCTCTCCCATGTAGACAACAACTCATCTTTTCCTCCTCTCTTGCGCTTCTTTAATTTTCCCCTTCTTCCTTTCTCGTCTTTTCTACCATGTAAACAACAAAACACTTAAAACCTTCGGCGGCAAATATGCTCCTCTCGATGAGAAAAGCAATCTGGAAGAAACGGGTATCGTCGGTGGCCTCGGAGTTCGATTGTGCTGAAGGAAGATCTACGAGGGGCTTGGGTTTTGGCCTTTGGCCGCGGTAAATCGGCTCCTCTTGATCAGAAAAGCGAAGATCTAGGTAAGATTCGGTCTGCATGTGTTTTTCTTTTCGTTTTCTGGTTCAAGAACGAATAATGACATTTTTCCTTCTGGGTTTTGGTTTTGAACAAGGCGAGAAGAAAAGATATCGGCAGGTGGCCTGGATTTTGGCTCTGGGTGCGACGATTTGGGTCCAGTCGGGCAAGGACGACCAGATATGCTCTTCCAACAGGAAAAGCGAATCAAAGAAACCGATCTGCTCTTCCGGCGACCAGATATGCTCTTCCAAACGGGATATGCTCTGTTTTTTAAAATTGTTTAAGAAATCTGACTTAGCAAATCTGGATTTTGGATGTGTTGATAGTGCACTTAATTTGGGCGAATCTTGATTTTTAAGTTTGATGAGGTGCTGATTTGAGGTTTGACAAAAGAATGAACCAGAAAACGAACCCGGGGAATGATTGTGACCTATATTGAAATTACCCAGAAAAGAATTGTGACCTATATTGAAATTACCCAGAAAATAAATTGTGAATAAATAGAATTTAATTTTTCGTTGCTAAATCATGTAACTTTCTGCGACGAAATACTCCATCGCCAAATAACATTGCTTACTGCAACGGAGGTATTTTCGTCACAGAATACCCATTCGGCAACGACGTGGTCGTCGCTAAATCGTCAAACTTCTGCGACGAATTTGATTTTTCTACGACGAACCAGTTTTTATTCGTCGCAGAACTTTCTGCGACGCTGTATAGGCGATGAAAGCTCCTTATCTTCTGCGACTGTGAAATCCGTCGCAGAAAGTTTTTGCGAAGGATTTTAGGGTTGCTGCGATGATTTTATTATGTCGCAGAAAGTGAATTTTATTGTAGTGTCTAGCGAGAGCGTAGGATGAAGGTCGATTGAGGTACTAACGCTGGGCGTCGCGTAGGGTGAAGGTCGACTGAGGTACTAGCGCAGCAGAAGCGAATAGTGAAGGTTGGTGTCGAGAGGTGACGCGGTATGTGCATGGGGCACAGCAGGCTAGCGCGAGAGATGCGAATAGAGTCTGTCCATCAAAAAATGGTATCATATGTGAAGGCCCACAATTGATTCGAGTGTTGCAATACATGGTGCGGAGAGAAGTATTTTCACCAGCACAAGGACGTGCTGCATTATGAGTGGTGGAGAATGTCACGACCCAAAATGTCGTGACCGTGTTGACCGTCTGAAGAACGCGTGCCTTCTGGTTAGCTTGCCACACGAGGGGTAAAGGTGGTGAATCTAGCGATAAAGCATTGTCTTCTTTTGCATCGTTCTGGCCGAGTCAGGATGTGGCTATGACTGAGATCATTACAAGCGAAGGAACAACTAGTCATGGGCTATTGCCACCTCCCTGACGATCCCAAGGCAGGGCGAAACCAGTTGGCATGCGTATGTGGAGAGGCTGGTCTTGAGGGTTGAGTGCACCTCAAGACGCCGCATGGGTTTCAGAAGTCTAGTTCCGTGACAAATGTTATCAGAGCCTGGTTTGACCAAGTGGTCGTGTGTTTGATTCTCCACGACCCCCAATTTTAACAGTTGACTAAAGCACAAGGTATGTCGGGCCTGTGCAAACTTCAAGCCCATGAGTTGGCTTTCGTTTGAGGATGCGTGTAAGAGGGTGATATAAAATCCATAAAAAACTTCTCCAACAACTTGAATTATTGGGAGCAACTGTTTCTTGACAACCCCAAAACCCCCCTAAGTATAAGTTAAATTTTATCGGTATCCGGTGAGCATATAACTTGGAAATCATAATGAATCAAAAGCATCGTGATTCATCTCAAATTACGAGTAAATAACTTGGGAAGCATACGTAGGTCATGTTATTTTGCTTGAATGCAGAAATAGAAAAGACAAAGTGATTGACGAGGAAGTAGTAGAGATCTATAATTGTGAACTGGAAGCAAATTTGGGTATTTTCAGTACCGTCTTAAGGTGAAATTTTTTTTCAGAGGTTTCTTCACAATATATTACCTATAGGAAAAATATTGAAACAAGAAATAAGATACATGAATTGAGTGCCCTTTCAACAACCTAGAGGAAACTCAGAATCACATATTTGAGTGTTCCTAGACTAGACGTAGACGAGTACAGTCTCTTACTGATTTTCGATATCTTTTTAAAATAGGAGAGGAAATATCCTGCAAAACTTGGTATTGCGAGGTGATCGAGGAAGTGGATGATGAATCTTTTTCGAAATTCGTCATGATACTCTGGAATCTATGGAATGAAAGAAATAATCACTCTTAATAATGAATGAGTGGGAAATCACCTGCAAACTATATCTTACTAGGAGTACAATCATTTCATCAGAAAGGGAAGGAGTGAGAGTAACAAGAAATATGACCTGGAAAAAGCTGCTTGTTGGATGGTTCGAGGTGAATGTCGATGCAACTATCTTTGGCGGGAGGGATTCAGGATATGGTGCATCAGTGAGGGATTCGGAGGGGAAGTGCTTTATGAATCACCGGAGATTGCATAGCTTCAGGAAATCGCTTTTGCTATGAAGATGGTGGAATTGAAAGGTATGTTCCTCACAATTGTTGATGGAGACTGCTTGGAGGCGGTTTCAGAACTCAACTGTTCCCCCCAGTCTTCACTGGAAGCAGGCTTACTGAATGATGAAATACGAGTTGAGGTCTACACAATAAATCAACCAGAATGGGTTTTTTTCAAATAAAGAATGTAACAGAGTAGTCCATATAATCATCCATACAATTTCCAATTGGATACTCAAGAAATTCGGCTCGAAAGACCACTTATCTTTATTTTCTAGTTGTTGCTTTCCGATTGTAACACCATTATGAGTACTTAATAAAAGCGTCGAGAAGTTTATAAAAAAAAGTTCCATGCTCAACATCGAAGACAACAAAATTCTACGGTCAAATATAACCTGTCCACCTGAAAATTTTATACAAAGATTTTTCTCCTCAAGTAATGATAGGAGAAAACAGTTAGAAACATCTACCTAAATCATTCCCAGACAACAGTGTAGTAACATATAGTGTTATCGAACGGACCCTATTTTCTCGGAGCTAGGGAAACCAGGCGATTCAGCCAGAAGGCAGAGATATGCGAGACTGCATGGCGACGGCGAAGCCGCCGACGCTGCCTGCTGGGGGGGAACAAGCCACCGGATAACCTGAGTGGTAGCAAGCGGCCTGCGGAAATCACTTCCTCACCGAGAAGGAATAGGGTTGAAAGACTCACAAGGGGGAGAGGAGATGGAGACAGAGGAAATTGGGAATACTCCGGAAAATCCCCATACCTCGTCTTGGACTGGAGGAGGTGGACGGAAGCTATTAGGAGAAGGCCGACAGAAGGAAGGTTGGTACGTAGCAGAGTCGGATACTGAGGATACGCTGCAAGCTGAGAAGGAAGAAGATTATGAGTGTGACGGTATGGAACAGAACCCTAATTGCCCCACAATCCCTTTCACATCTGCAAAAAAGATTAGGTGGCGACGAGAGTGGCGATCAGCGCTAGTAGTCAAAGGCTAGGGCGGCACGTTCCGTTCTTACCCTTGTCCCGACGACTGAACAGCCTATGGGGCAAGCATGGGGAACTCCAGATTTCGGACATGAAGAATGGATGTTTCCTAGTGAGGTTCCTCCATCAAGATGATTATGAAGCGGCCATTAACGGGGGACCTTGGCTACTAGGTGATACATATTTAATTGTGACGCGCTGGTATAAAGGCTTTAACCCGTGGAGGTCGGAGGTGAAGTCAGCCACGGTCTGGACCCAGCTTCCGGATCTTCCGATCGAGTTTATTAATAAAGAAGCAGCGATGAAGATTGCGACTTTTATCGGGAAACCTATACGAGTGGATAGAGATACTGAATTTGGAGAGAGAGGCAAGTACGCTCGGGTATGCGTGGAGGTGGACCTGACAAAACCATTGCTTTCTCAATATAAAATCGAGGGAGAGGAATACCTGATTCAATATAAAGGGTTGTATAATCTTTGTATTGACTGTGGAAAGTATGGAAAGCCAACCCACTTGTGTAGCTGTAAGGAGATGACTAATGATGAGACTACCCAAATACCTAAAGTTGTGCTGGAAACACAAACGGAAACTCAGAAAAAAGGTCAAGTTTATGGTGATTGGATGATTGTCCAGTGAAAAGACAGACAACCTCAACGGACCGTAGTGCGTGAGAAGGTATTGCCTCCCAATACTAAGAAGGAGGAGTCGAGACAAGGGAGCATAAATAAATTTGAAGTGCTAGTGGAAGAAGAACCTGCCGAGAGAGAGCAGGAGTTGAGACAGGGAACAAGAGTTAAGAAAGATGAGGTACATGAGAAGGTGGGGTTGAGAAGCACGTCACAAAAAAAAGGGGAAACAGCAGGGTGCTGTGGTGGGTCGTAGCAAGGGGAGTAATGAAGTTGCTAAAGCTAGGGAGACCTCGATAGCCAAGGGTGGGCAGGGTGGTGGTACTACCAAGGTACAGGATGTGGATAAACATGGCCCAAAGAAAGGTCACGAAATGTCCAATGCAACTAAAATGGTCAAAGGGAAGAAAGTTGATACTTCGGCAACGGGGGGTACAAAATCCAATGGTGCGGGGAACCTCTCCCCTTCCGGTAATTAATGCATATTTTGTGCTATAACTGCCGTGGGTTGGGGAATACACGAGAAGTTAAATCCCTGAAGTCGCTTGTGCTACAAACATCCCCACAACTAGTCTTCCTGATGGAGACGAAGCAAACAGAAGCTGAGAACGTCGTTCTACGAAATGAGTCTGGATTTAATCAAAGTGTAGTGTTTTCGGCTGACCAATCTCGAGGTGGGAAAACTGGAGGATTGATTTTGTGGTGGGCTAACGAGGTGGCATTAACTCCCATATCGACCTCCTACCATCACATTGATGCGAAAATTGAGGATCATAAAGTTGGGACTTGGCATTTTTCGGGTATTTATGGTTGTTCGGTGGGTGCGGAGAAGGTACAGACTTGGGAGCTAATCCGTCGGTTGGCAGCGCAATAGGAGGGTAGTTGGATTTGTGGTGGCGATTTTAATCAAGTCTTATCGAGTGAGGAAAAGAGTGGAGGTAACGAGGTGGAGGGTCAGGAAATTATGGATTTTGCCGACTGCCTTCTTGACTCGGGTCTGAATGATATGGGGTTTCATGGGTATCGGTTCACCTGTGAGAACAGACGCCAAGCCGAAAGATACATTGAGGAAAGACTGGATAGGTTTGTGGCGAACGAGAGTTTGCAGGCTAGTTTCCCCAGAAACAGCGTAATGCATTTGGATAAACGTCGTTCGGATCACCGACCGATTCTTTCCAACATGTTGGGCGAAGAGGATGAGGAACCTAGCTGGGGGTGATCTTTCCGCTTTGAACCGATGTGGGCCAAACACAACGACTGCATGCAGATTGTAGAAGACGGGTGGCGAGCGAGTCAGCTAAATAATCCTATGGAAAAAATGGATGAATGTAGAAATCGATTGGAAGATTGGAGCTGGTGCAGCTTCCCGCGGTTCTCGAAGCAAAAGACAAAAATTAGAAGGGCTATGAGAGCACTCGAAAGAAGGGAGAAGACAGAACAGGTGTTGAACTAAATGCGGCAGCTTGAAGCTGAACTAGACGAGCTGGAGGAAAATGAAGAAATTTATTGGAAACAAAGGTCGAGGGCCAATTGGCTCAAGGAGGAAGATCGTAACACAAATTTCTTTCATCGGAAAGCCTCAGCCCGTAGGAAACGAAACTCCATCAAGAAGTTGAAGGATGAGACAGGAGCTTAGTTTGTGGGACAGGAGCGCCTCTTTGAAGTGCTTACTAACTATTTTGATTCTTTGTTTAAAATAGGTGATGCCTCTAGTTCTACTCCAGTCCTTGACTCAATCAGGACAAGTGTTTTGGAAGTGGAGAATAATGCTTTAATTAGGCCGGTTACCGAGGAAGAGGTCGTCGCAGCTCTAAAGCAGATGGGAGCCCGCAAGGCTCCGAGAGTTGACGGTTTTTCAGTCCTATTCTTTCGAAATTACTGGCATTTTATTGGTACTAATGTGTGGAATCTAGTGTGTGATATTTTCGCAGGTGGGGATTTTCCATAGGATCTTAATCATACTCTAATCACACTGATCTCGAAAGTGAAAGAGCCCATATTTCCCAAGGATTTCCGACCGATTAGCTTATGCAATGTCCTGTATAAGTTGGTCGCGAAAGTTCTAGCTAACCGTATGAAGACAATACTGGATAAGGTCATATCACCTGAGTAGAGCGCATCCCCGGGCGATCTATTACGAATAATATTATGGCAGCCTTCGAATGTTTTCATTCTATGAAGAGGAAATCTTAAAGAAAGGTGGGATTCTTGGCGGCCGAAATAGATATGGCAAAGGTGTATGACCGTGTCGAGTGGCATTTTCTTGAGGGTGTGATGACCCGGATGGGTTTCTCGGGGCAGTGGATAGCTTTAATCATGAGGTGTGTAAGTTTTGTATCCTATTCGATATTGGTGAACGGTCACCAGTCACCTACCATCATTCCTAGTCGTGGCCTCAGGCAAGGTGATCCTCTATCGCCGTATATGTTTCTTTTGTGTGGCGAGGGTTTATCCTCGTATACGAACCTGGCTGTGGCGGAGAAGTGACTACATGGATATCAAGCGGCCCGAGGGGGCCCATTCGTCTCTCGTCTCTTTTTCGCAGACGACAGTATCTTCTTCGCAAGAGCTACAGAACGGGGAAAGCCAGGAACTGAAGATAATTCTCCAGGACTATGAGCGCGAATCAGGACAGATGGTCAATTTCCAATAGTCATCTGTCTCCTTCAGCGACGATGTGCGGATGCATAATAAGATGATGGTAAGTGGTATATTGGGAATGGAAAGGTTGGAAAAACATCATAAGTACATGGGCCTTGCTATAGTGGCGGGTCGGTCAAAAAGGAGTTGTTCACGGAAGTTTTGGATCGTTTGAGAAAGAGACTGGAAGGATGGAAGAAGCGCACTCTCTCTGTGGCGGCTCGTGAAGTGCTAATTAAGTCCGTTGCTCAAGCACAGTTTACTTATGTGATGTCGGTTTTCCGTATACCGGAGGGGATATTAACAGAAGCGCACAAATTAATCACAAACTTTTGGTGGGGCCAGCGAGGGACGGAAAGGCGGCCTCACTGGTTAAGTAGAGAAGAGTTACTTTGCCCAAAGGAAGATGGTGGAATAGGTCTCAGGGATATGGGAGGGTTCAACACAGCTATGATTGCAAAACAGCTTTGGAACCTTTATCAACGCCCGGAGTCTCTAGCTGTCAGAATCATAAAGTCGAAGTATCACCTGAACTCTTCGATACTTGAAGCGCACCTGGGTTATCGGCCTAGTTATATCTGGAGAAACATCCTCTCTGCCCAAGAATTTCTATGCTCTAGACTGAGATGGCGAATAGGAAATGGCCAATCCGTTTAGATTTGGGGAGATAGGTGGATCCCGAGCTTGCCTCACTATTTCATCCCATCCTCACCGAAGGGTCTTCCTGTAGACTCTATAGTGCGGGAGTTGGTTGAGGCAGAAAGTGAGAACTAAGACAATGATCTACTACAGAGGTGTTTCCCGATTGATGTGGTGCGAGCTATTACTCAAATACCACTCCTCGGAAATGGAGAAAGGGATGAGCTGATCTGGAGTGATAGTGTTACGGGTAACTATTGGTTGAAAGATGGGTACCGTGTGTGGTTTCGCCAGTTTAGTGAAGCGAATGGATTGTTGAAAGTTGGGGAGGCTGAAGTGTGGAAGAAGGTGTGGAAACTTTAGGTCCCTCCTAAAATTCGGAACTTTCTATGGCGATTCGCGAGAGATTCCCTTCCAACGGGCGACCACGTCGAACCCCGTAGCAGTAAGTGGGGCGATAGATGTGTGTTCTGCAATCTCCAAGAGACCCAAACACACTTCTTTCATGAGTGCGCTTGGACAAGCCGCATTTGGAGAAATTCAGCGCTCTCGGACTGCTTTGAGTTAAAGGGGTCGGGGGACTGTTTGCAGTGGGTAACTAAGGTCATTAAGGAGGAGTAAGCTACGGTGGAAGGCTGGCCTATGTTTATGTGGTTTTTGAGGAAGGAGAGGAATGCTCATTTTTTGAATGGTCCGAAACTACCAGAGGATGGAATTGTTGCGAGGGCGGGCTTCTTTCTCACTGACTATAAGTCACACCAGACTAGAGACGAAGTGGCGGAACATGCCCCATCGCGAATGACCACTGATGCAGCTATATTCCCTGATGGCGAGATTGGGTTGAGGGCAGTAGCCAGGGATAGTGATGGAAAGTTACGAATGGTAGCAGCTAAACGTACCAGTGGGGGGAGTTATGTGGATCAGGCCAAAGCCCTTGCTGTTGAGATGGGTGTGCAGCTGGCGCCACTTCTCCATGAACCAAAGCTGATCTTGGAATGTGATAGCATGATGGTGATTAATAAACTCAATGATCCAATGGGAGATTTGACAGAGACCGGGGTGATCTGTAGGAGTATCAGGAGAAGCTTGGAGGGTGCAGAACAACATAGTTGGCTACATATTCGGAGGGAAGCAAACGGGGCCGCCCACTTGATGGCTCGGACCTATACCCATCGGGATGAAAGACTTGTTTGGCTTGATAGCATACCAGATTTTTGGATTGATTAGTTAAAGCTTGACGATGTAACAGCCACCAATTGATCTAACGAGATAACAGGTTACCATAATAATAAAAAAAATCATTCCCAGACAACACTTAGTGCAGTCACTTTATGAAACCGAAGGAAGCTAACTCTAAAGCGGACAACAACATGACTTTCTTTGCCATTCTATGGACAATCCAGTTGACAGTCCGCAAAACCGCTCTAAAACTATACAGAGAGAACACGAAAAGAATAAATGTAAACAATCTCGAAGCAGAGGACCTCCCACCGAAGAAATGACAATAGTATATGGAGTGAAAGGTGTTTCCATATGCATATCAAATAGGGCTGGCAATTTGAACCCGCCCCGCCGGGTATTGCCTGGCCCGCAGTAGCATGGAGCGGGGCATGAGTATCTACTTACGACCCGTCCTCCCCCACCTCGCCTCGTTCTTGACCCATTCTATCGCAATATCTTATAGTATCTATTCATATTTCTACTATTTTGGTATTTTTTTCAAATAGTTAGACTTGATTTTTCAATTAGTTAGACTCACTCATTTTATAATCACTATTTTTCATTAATAAAGTGTTGTTCCCTTCGTTTTTATCGGAAAAGGTAAAATTTTGTGTGCGTTATTTTAATTAACATGTAAGAATAGGTCGACCCACCCCGCCCCGTATCCGCGCGGGTATTATCCGACCCGACCCGTAATAGCGTGCTACGGAACAATGGGTATTGAGTCAGGTACCCGCCCCGCCTCATTGCCATCATTAATATATAAAAAATGTCTACACACGATAGGTTAGTCCATCCTAATCTGTAATTAAATTATAATTACATGTACATACCTGTCTATCATCAATTCAACACAATCCAGCAGCTTATCGAATATTGAATTCAAAGCTTTATGCAAAACGTGTTGAGCTTAATTCCCATATTTCTACAAGTCCAAATATTCTATACCAACTCCAAAAACCCACGATTGCCACCTCCACAGGTAAAGAAGATATGTATCCTCCACCTTTGGAGGTAAGATAGGATATTTATCAACCCCTAACAAAAAAAAAAACGAATCCAACCAATTACAGCAAGCCTCTGCTACGTAGCTTGCCGCGCCATAGATAAGCAAGAATATGGTTCCAAAACCGCACTCCAATCAGAGCCTACAGCTCGGGACCCAGATGGCTCACTATATAAGAACATCAAAATCTTCACCCATTTTCTCACAACACAAAATTAAACCAACAGTAGCAGCAGCAGAAGGAAAAAAACAAAAACAAACAGCAGATCGACGTCTTCCATGGCACCTCCAGGAGACGGTAAGCTTGCTAAGATCGGGGAAGTCTTCTCCCAGGTCAACAGCTACTACACCGTCCGATGCCACGCTCAGGGACCGGTGATGTCGGCCGTGGGCACGGCGAATTTGCCGGCGGCGATGGGGACGGCGCAGCACTATCGGAGCGATCAACCGGCAGCCACGAAGCTACCGGAGATGAGTGCTGAGGAGGCTGCTCATAAGCTCGGTGGGCTTGCGATTGCGGATCGCGGCGTGGGGAGGAGTTCTTCTGGGCTGGGCTTTGCATTTAGGGCCCGCCATGAGAAGACACATAGGGTTTAATCTACACATCGTTAGTTAACAGGGTTGTCCACTTTTGACGTCAAACCGTCACGTTATCATCTCGAATGTTACAAACTTACAAAGTATTTTGATTTTGTTTTTACTGTGTAGATAGATAAACTCCTGTATATCCAGTACTTGGCTTCCTCTTATTCAGAGTGATGTAACGGAGTGAAAATAATATGTGTAGTTAATATCTAATAATAATTATGGTTATGCCAAAAGATAATGGTAGATTAATGTTAATACTTTAGCAAAGGGGAATAGGAAGATCCTAGTTGGATAAAAATATCATCTTTGATCGACCTAGTTTGATATGGTTTTCATTAAAGTCATTCATTTGAACAAGAGAATGAAATAAAAAATTTGAATCATACAATAATTAGTTCAACTCGACTTAGATGTGAGTTCAGTTTGATTCAACCTACAGGAAACAGAATAACCACACATTCTTATGATTGAACAAACTAGTAGGGCTAAAATCAAGAAAGTAAAGCCAGATTTTCCTCACGACAAACTGGTTAAATGTGTAACATTCTCAATGTTTCGGTCGAACCGAAAACTAGACAGTTAAATTGATCTTGGTAGTCTGATTAAAACTGAACCCATTTGAGAGCCCAATCCCACCAACCATTGAAGCCTAAGTGCCTAACTCCCAGCCTGCTTAGTCCAAGCCTAGTACCCCCAATAATCCCCAGCCCTCCCCACAAGACGAGCCTAAAACCCTAACATATGCTAACCCTAATGGCCTAATCCCCTTCCCATTCATATTGAGTCAACTGTCAATACAATCGACTATCCCTCGACACTCAATATAACAACATCGCTCGGCTCTCTCTATTCTCACATTCTCTCAACCAGTGTTATCAAAACCGGGCCAGACCGGCCGGTCAGACCGCGGCTAACTGGCTCCGGACACTCACCCGGTTCCGACTCCCTCTAAGAAATAAGGAAACTGGCCGGCCGGGTTTTAACCAGTTCATCCGGCTAACCGACAGAACCGCCTAAACCGAACCGACGGTTTTGGGATTAATACTTACTTTTTATAATAAAAAATATTAGTTACCTTTTTTGTCTTGAATCGACATAAAATTGGAAAGATAAAAATAATACTTCTTTTCCTTTTTTTTCAACTTTCCTTTTTCTTTTTTTAAGCACTCAATCACGTTACTTATCTTCTGCTTCTTCTTAATTCCTTTCCCCAAATAATAACAATATTGATAGAATGCATCATTTTGTTACTTTAATTACTTTTTATTCAAATTATTATTTTATTTACTTTCCTCTACTTGTCAATTTCCCCATTTGATTTCTCAATTGACCAACTCCAACGGTCAAACTCTGAAAAGCGAAAAATCATTATTTATTACTAGTATGATTAACATTTTAATATTGAATTCTTCAATTGAATATGTAAATTAAATATAAAATTATGAATTTAAAAATTAGTATTAATTTTTAAAGGTAACATGAAGTCATGATTCTTTTATTTGAATATTTTATATGCCACCGGTTTTATCACCGGTTTCATACCGGTTAATCACTGGTCATCCGATAAACCTTAAACCTCTTGTTAATCCGGATCGTTGTTCGGTCTAGTTTCGACAACAATGCTCTCAACTCATGGCAAACGACAGTTCTCTGGGCGATAGGTTTTGGTAGACAATGAATGAAGTTGTCAATGGAGCAGGCGGACGATAGAGTAGCCGTCGGCGAACACGACTTGGCGCATGGCGGACAAACCTTAATCCCATTGTTGGGTCACGACTCACGACTATAGGTTTAAAAATGTTCAACTGATTCGACTAAAGGCCCAAATGAAGCCATGAAGGAAGGCAAAGCTCGGCCCAGTTAAGAGCAACTTGTCTCACAAAGCCTCGTTGGGGTTGTTCCCAATGCAATCTTCGGAGTAGTACCCGGGTTAGGAACATTCTTGATGTCGACCTCGAGTCTAGCACTCACCAGTCACCACAGACCCCGAGACCAGCATATATTGCTCGTAGAGACGCCCTAGTCTCTAATTGGTCGAAATAAAATGAACGCCTGACACGACATTAATTACGCTCAACCACCAAAGAGTAAGTATAAATAGAGACTCAACTCTCATTAATGGTGAATTCAAATACCCTCTATTTCACAAAACAAAATTCCAACATCTCTCTAACTTTAACTTCGAAGAGAGTTCTCTAGAGATGGCAATTTGAACTCACGGGTATTACCTGACTTGACCCACGATGGAGCGGGTATTATCCAATCCGCAGTAGCGTGGAACGGGACATGCGTATCTACTTTCGACCCACCATGCCCCGTTCTTGACTCATTCTATCAATGGTATCTATTCATATTTCTCTTATTTTGGCTTTTTTAACTAGTTAGACTTGATCTTTCAGTTAGTTAGACTCAATTACTCGTTATATTGTCACTATATCTCATTCATAAAGTGTATTCCTTCATTTTATCGTAAAAATGTAAAATTTTGCGTGATTATTTTCAAATAGCATGTAAGAGTGGGTCGACCTGCCCCGCCCCGTACCCGCGCATGTATTACCCTCCCTGACCCATAGTAGCGTGGGAGGGGGGCATGGGTATCGAAGTACCTGCCCCGCCTCGCCTCATTGCCATCACTAGCGTCCTGGACGTACCCGCCCGAGGACCACTTGTGCGTGGTCTGAGAAGTCCAGACACCTCATTAATGTGTGGCCATACCCTCGGCGTTGAAGCTCCAAGTAATTTGTGGACAAAACAATTTGACACCCACCGTGAGCCCACAATTGTGTCACAGTAATCTACTCCCATGGGAGAAACTTCTCGAGCCCCATTAAAGAATATGATCGACGACAGAGCAACGCATAGAGGAACAGTCGACAACATGTCATCCCTAGTAGATGATGAAGTAGAGCTAGAAGATTAAGTAAAAAATAACGGGTATGAGATATCCCAGTGTGCAAGAAAGCCTAGAGTAGATCTTAACTTGACTTAGGAAGACAGACAGCCCGCCTAGAGCACAAACGGAGGAAATCCCTGATACTAGCTCAAATCCAAAAGACAAAGAAAAGGCCCCTATCAGCGTAGAGGATATCGACGACTCAGAAGAAGGGAAAAAAAGGAAAACACGACGCAGAGCCCGACCTTCGATACCTAGAGATGCACTTGGGGATCTCGTACTGTCACAATAAGAACCCCAGTGTATTGCACAACCCTCTTAACAAAATTCTCTTCAAAATCCCAATGTCGCATAACTTCTCCTATCTGGAACTATCGACATATGATGGCACCACTGACTCGTCAGATCATCTTAGCTCTTTCGTCCTCAAGATGCAACTAATAAATGCCTCAGACGCAGACAGGTGTAGGGCATTTCCTGTCACGTTCGGAGGACAATGTCATACTTGGTACACCTCGCTCACGAAAGGTGTCATTAATACGTTTGAACAGTTTGCCATCCTATTCGCCTCCAAGTACACCTCTCATAAGCGTAGAAAACTCGCCGTGTTGGCATTGATAAACTCTCAACAAGGTAAAAGCAAAGCGTTATTTGAGTTCTTTGATAGATGGAACTCCATAGCAAGCTAGATACAATGCATCTCCCCGGCAGTGGCCTCTAGAAACATAAGAATGTAAAAAACGGTAAGGAGTTGAACTATTCACTGGCAAAGAAGGAACATATATTACGATCTTGGATTGACCTCGACAAGCTGGCGAGGCGAGCTATCCTGCTGGAAGAGACGATGGTTCCAGAAGAGCGCCCAAGGGAGGAAACACGAAGTGATGAGAAAAGACGCAAAGAGAAGCAAGACGCGAACATAATGTCCCCCTAGGAAGAAACGATCTACGGAACCGCGAGGAAGGAGACGTGACTACTAAGATCATGCACCATTGAAAGCGGTATACATGCACTAGTAGATATCAAAGGGAAGACCGACGCTTCAGGAGAGAAGGAAAATACCGCCCGAGGGAGCGAGCTGACAAGCCGCATAAGCGAAACTGGTGAGAGTTTCATCAGTCTACTACGCATGAGTGACATGACACGAATGAATGCAGGGAGTACATAAGTGTGATGCAGAACTTTAGCCATTTCGACTTTTAGGTTGTTTTTTTTTTTATATAAATTTTTTTAATGAGGTGGACGCTAGTAGGGCAAATTTAACGGGATTTTGGATGGAGACTAACAGAAATGACCATTTCGTATAAGTTTATATTTTTGTTACCGTATCATTACAAACTAAATATTTGTAACTGTTTTGTACTAAGTGGGGAGGTTTGTGACCGACTAGCGGTTTATAACAATTGGCAGGATTTATTCTCCGAGCAACCATTTTGCTAACTTGGATGACTAAGCTAGCTATTTATTAGTTTTTCCATGGCCATTTAGTAATTTATACTCGAAGTCAGGCTAACTACGAGAAGTGTCGGGTACTTGGGGTTATTGTTCTTCCGGAAGCGGCGAGACCTCGAACGACAATCTGCAATGGCGCATCTCACAGCCCGTCGCACCCTGGCTTCGATTCTATCGCGAGCACTCTCATCTTCTTCTTCATCCACTTCAAACACCTCCCTATCTTCTCGTTCTCGCTTCGCTTCGGCCCTTCTCGACAAATCCTCTCCCACCGGGCTGCCGCCGCAATCGTTCAATGTCCCCACCCGATTCAAGACTTCCCGGTCGGGTTACTCGCCGCTCAACGACCCGTCGCCGAACTGGAGCAACCGCCCGCCGAAGGAGACGATCATGCTCGACGGCTGCGACTACGAGCACTGGTTAATCGTCATGGAGTTTCCCAACGACCCAAAACCTTCCGAGGAAGAGATGATTAACTCCTATGTCAAAACCCTCGCCGCCGTCGTTGGAAGGTAAAACAGAAAATGGAATCTCTTTGTCGTCATTTTTCTCTCCGATTCGAATCCCTTATCTTAACTTCATGGACTGTTACAGTGAGGAAGAGGCGAAGAAGAAGATATATTCCGTTGCTACCAAGACCTACACTGGATTTGGTGCTTTGATCTCTGAAGAGCTCTCTTACAAAGCTAAAGGTAGCTCCTTTTTAAGTTTTGCCCTTTGAATTGCGGGTTTCAGGGTCTTAGATTCAGGGCTTTGATTGTGAAAAGAGAAGCTGAATTGTCGATCTGTACTAGTTCTTAGCTACTGGCACTTGCTCCTTGGACTAGGGTTCTGGGTTTTGAAGATGAGAGTGTTTTAGGGTTTTAGAGCAGAGTTCTGAAATGTAGATTCCACGTTAGTTTTGTAGCTAGCTTCTGATTGCTTATGCTTGTGCCTTCTCTTGACTTGAAAATTTAACTAATTCGAGAGAGATTCCTTTGTTTGTCGTTGTGCTTTGGAAACAGAGTTGCCTGGAGTTCTGTGGGTTCTCCCAGATTCATTCCTTGACGTTCCTAACAAGGATTATGGAGGTTTGTACTTCGGTGTTTGCTTCCAACATTGATTGAACTGATTTCTTATAGTAAGATATAAACCATTCCTTTATACTTCTATAACCTATTGTGGTTCACCAGGCGACCTTTTCGTGGATGGGAAGGTGATCCACAGGCCGCAGTATTGGTTCACTGAAAGCCAGAACAGTAGGCATAACAGGCCTCGACCACGGTACGATCGTCGGAGGGAGACAATGCAGGTTAGGAGAGATCCTGTGCAAACGTTACCACCACCATCTATCGGAGCCGGCCAGAACCAATCTCCGCCTCAAAATGCTGGCTTCTCCATGAATCAGCAGCAGCAGCCAGGGCAGCAGTTTAACCAAACCAGGTCTTGAGGGGACTATTTGCTTTACAAGCCACACACAGCCCACAGCTTTATAGCTTTCAATGAGGATTTACTTTCCTCTGTAGTCTGCAACTGAGAGTTGGAAACTGGAATGCAAATTATGAAGTTTCAATCTTTTTAATGGTCTTAATATGTTCAAATAGTCCAGCATGCTTATGGGTACATCCTAGTTGTTTTGAATGTAACTCTCTGTATCATAAGTGTGGCAATCTTTAGCTTTTGAGTTTGAAACTTTGTGAAGTCTCTTTCAAACCATTTTCGAAACAGAGCCTCTTCATAACTAGCGCCTTCGTAGTCTGATTAATTCTGCGTCGATCACTAGTTTGATTGTGAAATTGCATTGGAGACTCGATCTGGATCTTGGTGATGGAACCATAGAAAGAGTTCTAATAAAACTTTGAGAAAGTTATATGGGTTAATATTTGGAGCTAATGGATTATGGATATCATAGAACTCTTCAGAAATACGGGTCTTTACTGAAACAAACATAACTGTGATTTGAAATATTGAACCAGAGTTTGGCTCAAGTAAAATATCATATTAGTGTTACTAATTACAGACTTGCTGTGGCGGTGAAGGGGTTCAAGTACAATTGCGACATCGAATAATGCTTTGTCGTACTGGTTGTACCCTTTGATGATATTATCGAGGTTCAGTCTATTCATTTAAATATTAAATAAAAATTAGGGTATGTATTAAATGTTTCGCTTCTTTTTAAATTACGATATCCTACAAAATTTTCTTTCATTATATCTAAAAATTCAAATGATTAATTGTACACAATCGTGATCACCTAGAATTATGATCCATATTATTATTAACAATTATCATATTTTTCTCTCCATTACTCCTCATGATCCATATTTGGGCTTCAAGCTAGAAAAGCTCCCAAAATGGGCCAATTATTTCATGAACGAGTTTCCAGAAATAGCCTTCAGTTCACAGCACAATAACTGCTCGAGTCATTTCCGTTTCTGCTGAAAATAGAAGGGTCCAGAAAGCAACCGGAGCTCAATCACACACCACCGACTGTCCGAAAAGAAAACGAACCCATTGCCCTCTCCACCGTTTCTTCCTCTTCTCCGCCGGTTTCCCGGCGATCACTTATCGGAGACCGGTGATCCAGATCCTATCTCTCTCCCTTCACAGCAAACCGTGAAGGTAACGGTTAAAAGCTTGCGATCTCTCCGTTCCTGATCTGGATTCACCTTCTTCGAATTCAATTCGGTACGTGCCCATTTTTTTCTTCCCCGATCGATCTTTTTCCGAAGTCGTTGTTTGCTTGAATCTAGGTAGATTCCGCCATGAACTCGAATTACGGGAAAGGCTCGTCTGGGTCGATGAATAACTTCAATTTCGATCTGGGTCTTGGATCGAATCGTTCTAAACCCTTGAACGAACAGAGGAATCAGAACTCGTCCGGTTACTCTTCGTATTCATCTGCAACGGGGTCGCAACCGAGGCCTGCTTTTCAACCGGGGAAGCCTTCATGGACTCACCAACCTGCTGCGGCGACGAGTCAGCCAGCTCGCGCCGGGTTGGAGGGTCCGAATTCTATGGTTGGAGATATATTTGGCAAGACCTGGGGATCCACGGGTCCAGCTTCTAAGAGTTCCGGGATAGGGATTGGTATTGCAGAGAAGAACCCGAATTTGTTTGGGGATCTGGTGAGCTCTGCTTTGGGGCAGGGGAACAAGAGTGGGAGCAATGCCCCTTTGAAGAATGCGACTACGACACCAAGCAAGAGCTCTTATTCCATGGGGAATATGGCGGATTCTTTGCCTAAGGTTAGTAGTAACTCGGCCCAAAGTGGTGCTGGTTGGGGATCTAATAGGAACGTCAGCAGTGCTGGTGCTGGTAACGTGGGTGTGAATGGTAATAAGAGTACGAATACGAATCTTGGTGGTTCTTCCATGAAAGGGGTGGCGGCTGCAAGTGGAGGAATGATGGGGGGAAACAAGGATCCATTCGTCTCTCTAGTCGACTTCTCGTCGAAACCTTCTCAGTCTGGTAGTGGCCTTAACTCTGGTCCCAAAGGTAATAATAAACCTAATTCTAGTGTCAATGATCCATTCGGTGATTTCCAAACTGCTTCAAAACCAAGCTCTACTTCAACTCCTTCTAGTGGGTTTGGTGCAAAAGATCCATTTGGGGGTTTCCAAAACGCCTCAAAACCAAGCTCAACTTCAGTTCCTTCTAGCGGGTTTGACTTTGGAATGCCGAGTAACGACTTTGGCTCTCAGAAACAGGCACAGTCCTCAGTTCCACCTACAAGCAGTGATCCACTTGGGATGTTCTTCAGCTCTTCATCAGGAAGTGCTGCACCAGCATCCTCAGCAGGTGCAGGGCAGCAGTTTTCGGAACTTGATGATTGGGGGGTGGACTCAGGGTTTGATGGTGCAGATGGTCCCACCACTACCGAGCTCGAAGGGCTTCCTCCACCTCCTGCAGGGGTTTCAGCTTCTGCTGCAAAAAGCAAGGGTGTGGACCATCAAAAGCAAGGGCAGTATGCTGATGCCATTAAGTGGTTGTCATGGGCTGTGGTGCTTCTTGAAAAATCTAAGGATAAAGCATTATCTGCGGACGTTCTGTCGACTAGAGCCTCATGTTATAAGGAAGTTGGAGAGTACAAGAAGGCAGTTGCCGACTGCACAAAGGTATCATCTTGTCTTTCTCTTTCACTTGTCGATGATTATACCATCACTATGCTGTCGGTTCTCTGCAATGGGTGGTTAGTGTCTGATTTCCAGATGGAAATCTGGTACTGAGGGAAGTCTCTCACCCTTCAAGGGTTGCCCACTCAAGTTTATCCAGAAGAGTCATTTGGCAAAATCTGTTGCACAGTCGAACTAAACCAAACAAGGCTTTCCAAATTGCACACGTGACAGGATGTAAAATGAACAACTTGCAATTGAGACAGAGAACTTCAGCTCACAATTACATCGAATCAATATGGCTCATGCTTCTCTATGAGGGCCTCTTTTACTTTTCATTATCGATGCGAACCTCTTACTTAAACCCGGTGTTCTTGCCATTGTAGTAATTACGTTTTGCTATTATTCGCATTCTGGCAGGTGCTTGAAGGAGATGAAACCAATGTATCGGTGTTAGTCCAGCGAGCACTTCTATATGAGAGTATGGAGAAGTACAGGCTGGGTGCGGAGGACCTGAGGGCTGTTCTTAAGATCGATCCAGCTAACCGGATCGCAAGGAGTACAGTTCATCGCCTGTCCAAAATGGCAGACTAGAGAAAAAGTTCGCACTTTCTACACTGTATTCTAGCTTTTCTTTTCAGATTATACACTTCTGCCCCCTCTCTATGAAACTGTGGGGTAAAGGGAGCCCTTTTTTTTTCTTTTCTGCCGGAATGTCTGTATTACGATTGTGGAGTTTGCATGTATTCCATTTTTTCACTTTCATTTCTGTTTGCTTGTGAGTGAAGAATTCATCTTCATCCCGTACTCTTTTGTTCTTTCTTTCATAGGAGATTCATACAAATACAATACTCAAACAAGGCTTTTTCTGTTTGTAATAATCACTATTGTCTCCTACTTTCATGATTGCTAGTGTACCCGATCCATCAAAGAATTTTGGTTCCTTGAGTAGTATACTGCTGCAACTGAATCAGTGATCACCCTCTGTCATTGATCAATTGGAAGTCTTTGATTACACTCTGTTTTACTTTTGCTTGGGAGGAGAAACCTATGTGATTGTCGTCGGGTTGTCTTTGTGCCTCGAATTACCTACTACAATCAAATCGACAATCCTATTATCATTGGTGAACTCGGGTATCGTGTTCATAGCTCGCCCAGTGAGCAATTCGACGATTGTGTGCCCCCTGTGAGCACTTTCTCAATGAAGAGGCTAGGACCATTTCCGCCAAGTTAGTCATTGCTTTACTGATAGCCGTGGAACCAAAGGATGATTTTTGCTGATGAGGAGAAAGCTATGAGATTCCTTATTTGTCATGATTGAACCGACGATCATGGTAGTGCGATGTTCACCTTTGTGAAAGTATCTCTCGTGTGTTATCCTGCCTTCTCGCTTGTCATATAAATACGAAGAGGAGATATCTAGGGCATTATCATGGATGCTTGATATTCATCCAATTTGAGCAACCCCAATAAGTTCTCCATATCCACATATGGACACTAGTATGTACTTCTTTGATTTGAACTCGTTGTACATTTATTCTGCTGAAAACTACTGTCAAACAATCATTGCCCACCAACAGAGAGTACTAAATCCTCCTACTGCATACTTTCACCAAACCCATTAACAAACTAAAAGCAGCAGCTGACTAAATGCAACCGTCATCAATTCCTTCCTGCTGCGGGAAAAGAAAATATCTCGATACAGAATGAAGTAGAGAAAGTACACGAACTGCAGAAAAGTGAAGAGGCTGAAGAAGAGGACAAACTGAATGAGAGAAGGAAGATGGGTAAAGCTGCCATACAGTGAAATGACGGAATCCATGACTTTTATCTTATATTTTTGTTTCAATGCAATGGAAGGAAAGGAAATCGTGGGCGGTATGCAATTTGTCCAACACAAACCAATCAAACGCCCTTCTTTATATGAAACCTCTAACAGCTTTAGCTGTTTCCTCGCAGCCTGCAGCAACTTGCTCCCTGCCATCCCGTCTCTCTCTCTCTCTCTCTCTCTTCATTTTTTCTATCATCTCTTCAATCAAAATGGTCGTTTGGATGATCGACTTAGAAGATGATTACTTTCTAATTAGTCATCGTAAAATAACCAAAACTTTGAAGACATTAAAGCAGTTCATCAACTTTTCAGTGAAATTCGCTGAGTTGGCTATCGATCTTGTAAGCATGCAGAATTCATATGTCCTCATGTTTAGAATGAGTTGGACTAATCATAACGTAGGATGAAAAGAGGATATGTGTTAATTTGGGCTTAATTGCAAGTTTGGTCACTCGAATTTATTGGAGGCACTCGAGCCCACTCAGCCCTCGGCCCAGTCATCGGCCCACACGGTTAGAATGCCTCCATGTGTAAAGGCAAATTATGTATTCTGTGAAACCCTAGTAGCTAGAAGCAAAAGGTATAAATACTTGTGTATGGCAGCCGGCCACATTGAGTAATCATCAATAAGAATTCACAAACTGGAGAGGCATTCCTCTCCCGTGGACTAGTCCCGTACCTACGGGGATACCATGTAAATCGATCTTGTTCTCTCTTTTCCGCACTACAATCTCGATATTTTACATGGTATCAGAGCTGTGAACACGATTCCAGCTTCGCATTCATGTCAGGAGAAGATCATTCCTCCTTCACCGGCGAAACGCCGCCGTCCAAGTCAAGTGGATCGGGTGGTTCTGGCAGCCATCTCGATGCGCTCAGTCCTTTATTCATTCATCAGTCCGATAGTACCGGCCATCTCCATGTTAGCAGCCTTCTAACCCCCACAAATTACAGCGAGTGGGCCTTGGAGATGACCGATGCCCTCGTCACAAAGCATAAGCTCGGTTTTGTTGACGGCAGCACCCCTCGTCCAGCTGCTGGTGTTGCCGAGCTCGGTCAATGGATTCGTTGTGACGCTCTCGTGAAGGGATGGCTGCGGACAGCCATGGATCCTGAAGTCCGCAGTAGCGTCATGCACGCTAAGACAGCACAGGAGATATGGGAGGATCTCCGTGATCGTTTTAGCAAAGGGAACCTCACCCGGGTCTACGAGCTGCGTCGTCACATCAGCCATCTCCAGCAAGAGAAACAAACTGTGTCTGGGTTCTACACGCAGCTCAGGAAGAATTGGGAGGAAACCCAATCTATTTTGCCGCCGCCGTTGTGTGCGTGCGGTCGCCGCAGCCGTGACCAGAATGAGAGCTTGCGGCTCCTCGATTTCCTTTTGGGCCTCGACGACTCCTTCGCTACGGTCCGCAGTCAGATATTGTCCATGACCCCTGTGCCTACTCTTCCTGAGGCATTTCGCATCGTCCATAATGACGAACAGCAGCGCCTGTTGACCCAAAGCCGCAAGGTTGCTCCCGAGGCGGCCGCGTTTGCTTCCCGCAGCGAGCCGGAGAAACGTGGAGGCGATCAGCGCGACCAGCGTGGCGGCCGCGATGGTGGCTCCAGTGCTCGGGATCGCTCCTCTAGTGATCGTGACCGCGATCGTCCCGTCTGCTCGCACTGCCAGAAAGTTGGGCACGTCCGAGAAACCTGCTACGAGTTGATTGGGTGGCCGCCGCGTGATAAAACTGGTGATCGCGGCGAGCGTGGTGAGCGCGGGACGTCGCGCCGTGGTCGCGGTCGCGAAGGCAGTAGAAGCAGAGAGCCTCACGCATCACAGGCCGCTGCCGACTCTTCACCCGCGTCGGGCTTCACTGCTCAACAATTGGATCAACTCAAACAGCTCTTTGGGCATTCTTTTGTTGGGCCGAGTGAGCCCATCAGTAACATGGCGGGTACGTTCTCTTCCTCTTTTGAATCCGAATGGTTAATCGACTCCGGCTGCAATGAACACATCACCATGGATGATTCTGTTTTTTCTTCATACGAATCTGATATGCCTAGCGCTCCTGTTCGAATTCCGGATGGCTCGAGCATCCCTGTTAAACGCATTGGTTCTGTTAAGCTTGATGCAGGTCTCAGCTTGGGGCGTGTGCTTCACGTTCCCGAATTTCGCTGCAACTTATTGTCAGTAAGTCGCTTATGTCAAGAACATAATGTTGCTTTAATATTTCTGGGTGATTTCTGCGTCATACAGGACTTAGACTCGAAGAACGTGATTGGGAAGGGGGAGATCCGTGAGGGTCTTTACTATCTTCGTCTGTTTGGTTGTCGTACAGCTCGCGCGCATGCAGTTGTCAAGAATGGAGTCATTTCTGCAGGTCTTTGGCATGCACGGCTCGGACATCCTTCTCAGGCAAAGATGGAGCTTCTTGGTCGCACCATTCCTTTCTCCCACTCACCCCATGCTGTTTGCCATCCTTGTTCACGTGCTAAGCAAGTCCGCACTCCTTTCCCCATTCGTTCCATACGCACGACGGCCTGTTTTGAACTGTTACATATGGATATTTGGGGTGGTTATCAGACTGCTTCTTTCAGTGGCGCTCATTATTTTTTGACTATTGTTGATGATTTTAGTCGTGCTGTATGGGTTTACCTACTTCGTTTTAAGTCTGAAGTTTGTCGGTATGTTCAGATGTTTTGTCAGCTTGTTGCTACCCAGTTTGGTTGCCAGGTTCGGCGTATTCAAGCAGATAACGGCTTGGAATTTCAGTCTGCTGCTCTTCAGCGGTATTATGAGCAGCATGGCATTGTGCTTCATACTTCGTGTACTGACACGCCTCAACAAAATGGCGTGGTTGAGCGGAAGCATCGTCATCTCCTTGACACAGCTCGTGCCCTCCGTTTTCAGGCCTCCTTACCAATTCGCTTCTGGGGCTGTAGACACCACATTTTGTCCGGAACATTCATGCTAGTTATATATATACATAAACAACTAATTGTAGCATCACAATGATATTTGGGGAAGGAAGTTTGAAATAATTTGGTTAAGACTAGCAGTAGCAAGTCAATATGAACCCCGCTCATATACAATCCAAGAATCAATTCGAATGGACACGAGGATAAGTACTATTTTGAAGCTTAATACGCTTTAGGTTTGGGTTTGAATTTGAGCATTGGTTTACAATGCATAGAAGAAAAGAACAAATCAATAAATACAAAAAACATACTTCGCCATTTTATTTCTTCCATGATACATTTGATCGGGAATTACATAGATAACAAAGGAAAGATAGTAATTAAATATATGCAATTAAAAGACCACTCCTTTATAAACCGTGGACCTGCAACAGAAGAGAAGAACTAGTCAGTTCTCAAACCCATACACCAGGTCCACAATTTAAGCCCAAACCAAAGTAGTTCAAGTCCAAGAAGTATAAAGCCAGTTTCTTTTCAAGCCCAAACATAAATCAGATCAGGCCCAACTCGGCCCAAACCCGACAGGCCCAACTCGGCCAACTGGTTCGATCCAGAGACCAGCCCAACAATCCGACCCAGACCAGTTTGGTCTAACCAAATCCTATCTACAACCGACCAGGCACACTCTTCAAAGTCATATTAAAAAAAATTGGACGAATCAAATAGTGACAAGTGGCGGTTTGATTTAGCTATAAGTAGAGCTCTTCAGCTCTTGATTTGGGGGGACGAAAAAAAGACAGAATGAGAAATTTCTAAACACACTGATTTCTTCATTACAACAGCAAACTCAGTCAAGAAATCTCAGGGGAGCAGCAATCAACGAAGTGTTCTTCGAGCAGAAATCCCAACAAGGTTGGTGCTTTTAACTCTACTTCCATGATTCGCGATTAATTTCATCTCATCTAGCATCGTTTTTACTCTATCGTTGTAATCGTCCATCAACTTGCCTACTCATATTAAAACGATTTACTTCGTGCAAACCCCTTTTCATTCAAGCGCTCTATTTATTCATACCAAGTTCACTCATGTAATTTCTTTTCGGATTAAGATGAGTTCAAATAAGCGCCTCCATGCTTTTACATCAATTTCTTATTTAAGTTTTGTCGATTGATTAGAATACTGACTATAACAACTAACAGTAGAAAGTAAAGTAGACAAACTTTAAAGAACCAAAACCTTTTTCTCTTTCGTATATTGGGGGTTATGATAGGTGTGATCCGGATCCAATAGGATCACCCTACATAATTATATTTCATATTTCGAACTCCACTTTGGCAAAGTCACAAGCAGAGGCAGTGATTTTTAGTTGCCAAAATTATCTATTTTAGAGCATATTAATTACTTCCCAGTTATAGAAAATTCATTTTTTTTCTTTTCTTTGTCATTTTTAGAAAAATCTAGCATCCCACGAGTTACTTCTAAAACTATCCACCAAACCACCAAGCATGAAAACATTCGAGATCATCAAACGCACATACAACATATTTTCGAACCACAGATCTGTAGGCTAAATCTAAACCGCACACAATCCTTTCCATTTTTTTTTTTCAGTTTAACCTCCCTAGTCATACCAAAACCGAAGTTAGAAGAGCCTTACCCAGATCTGGATTTATTTCTCAAACCTACAAAAAAGAACGAACTAAATTAATTATTTTTGTTGATAATAAAAATGATAGATTAACATATATTAAGGAGCCGAAATCCTACCTTTCTTTTTTTGGAGACGAAGATCGTCATCGGCAGGATCTCGCCGCCGACCACATCCTAAACACAAGAAAATGAAATAAATATTAGTCGAATCCCAAATAAATCACCTAAAACGAATTGAAAAGATTTTGCATGTCAAGAACCTTACCTAGTTCGTCTATTTCCGATCGAAATAGGGAGGTTATAGTCATCCTTCTGCCTGATTCCAAAGAGGAGTCTTTCCTCATCTTCTGCCTTTTTCTTCCTCCTCACCGAAACCAAAACCCAGAAACCCTCGATTCAAAGAGAAAAAGGAAAGGTCAGAATCCCATAAAAAAAACAAAAGTCCAAAGAAAAGAAACATGCATGTCGAGTTTTTACCTTGATCGATTTCCCCCTTCACCGTCGATTAGGATTCCCAGTCAGACACGAGAGCGACGGCGGATTGAGGGGGTAAGAGTAGATAGCGACGGTTTTGGAGAGAGGAGGCTAGGGTTTCGGTCTGTGGAGAAGAGAGGGATGAGGGCGGCGGCTAGGTTTCTCTGGAGAAGATGAGGACGAGAGGGAGAAAGGCGAGGGTGAGAGAGAGGCGGAGGGTGAGGTCGGCTAGGGTTTCCTTTTTTTTCTCTGAGAGTGAAGAAGAGAGGCGAGAGTTAGAGAGAGGAGAGAACGGCGGACAAAAAATGAGAGGAGAGAGGTTGAGCGGCGGCCGCTAGCTCTGAATAGATAGGGTTTGATTTTTTCGACCTAAGAGATGAATATATACCCCCTAATTTGAAATGACAAAAATGCCCTTAGGGTTTCCAAATATTAACGCGGCCGTGCCACCGCGTTTTTGGGTAATTACCACAATACCCTTTCCCCTTCTCTGCTCTAAAACGAGATAAACAAAAATTTGTAGTTAGCGCGTTTCGAACCCTTGTTCTCTCGGTTAAACGCGAATTTGGTCTGGCGTTTTAGCCAGTTGGGCTGCTGGCCCTCATGCGTCAATATTATAATCCCGTATAGTTTTATTCATTTAAAATCCTTAATACGAAATGTAGAATTGCGGATTAAGTATATCTCGTTTCTTTTCTAATACATCAAAACTCCTCTTAATAATTGAAATTATTACATTATCTTTTTATAATTTCATAATACCAACCTAAATTTTACTAACAATAAATTTTGATACGAGAACCACGACCAGTGGAATGTGGTAATAACTTTACTTAAAATATTCAAAGTCCTAACGAACTACGTGGACTTTGATCCCGTCTAACGGGTACGTAGGCAACCGATAAGGTTCGAGTCCAACTAACCAATTAACTTTATCGTTTACGTCAGTGGGCGTATAATTAAATTACAACTAATATGATTAAATCATTAAATGGTCCAGTGGGACCCCTAAAATTACAAATTATTACTAAAAATACACCCAACTCGTATAAAACTTATCGACTTAAGTAGTACCGATTTAGGGCGTTGTGGGGGTGTTGCTTAACTTCCCTACACGTAACCGTACTCCCGAACCCAGAACTTCATTTTCGCAGACCATATCTCGGTTCTGACCCTAAGGTTAGAGCCGATCCTAAGAGTGTTCGATCCACTCCAACTAAGATCGATGGCGACTCCCAAAAATGCCGACGCGACGACGTTCGGACCCCCCGGACGGGACGGTTGCGACAGTTGGCGACTCCGCTGGGGAACTTCGAGAGTCGAGCTACATAACTAAGTTCGATAAGTTTTCTAATTTTCTATTACGTGTTGGGTGTTTACTTTCTTATTTGCGCAATTATGTTTTCGCAATTTAATTCTGCATTCATGCATAAAAGCTCTATACCCGAGCTATCCTATTAGAAACGGAAAAGGAGTACCGTGACTTTCACAGTGGTGGTAGTCACGCAAAACTTTCCAACCAAGTTGAACTCAGATCCGAGGATGATCTTGAGGTATCCAACCAGTTCGTAAGGGCTATGGTAGGATACAACTTGGGAGCCAAATCCTTAGGAATTCCTCTGCCAGCATATAGTAAGCATCGAGGCCTCCCTAAACCGTCCAAAATAATCCCGAAACAACCCTAGAACCGCGTCATTATGCCCTCTGAAAGCCCTAAGTTTTTCCCAAATAGGGTTATGTTCTTATTATCTATATGTATGTTTTCTACTGACGTGATAATTTGTGGTATGTTTTACCAATCGCGATATATTTATTTGTGAGAACAATGTGAATTTTTCTTTTCTTCTTTTAAAAAAAAAAAAAGAAACTCATAAGCATCATTTTGGGTTTACGCTTATGCATTCAAAATAAATCATGTGGACATTTTCAAAATGCACGTGCATCCAATGAATCATCTGTGCATCTGTGCATCGCATAAGCATCATACATACTCTCCATCGTTCATTCAAGTCAATTTAATAAAAGTAATTTGTCAGGGTTCCTTAAAATTGCTCGTCCACAAGGAAAAAATCAAGACTTCAAGTACTTAACTAGATCCAAGCTCGAGGTCGTCATGGATGCATTTCAAAAAGAGTTGAACGACATCAAAGGAAAGCTGACCGGGTTTGACGAGAAGCTGGTGGGGTTCGATGAGAAACTAACGGGCTTCGATGAGATGAAAAGCCAGCTCAACACAATAGTGAGCATATTGTCCAGAAAAGGGAAGGAGGTTGCAACGAACGAGGAAGAAATCGTATTTGATGACGACGATCACTATGAGCAACCTCAGGGAAACGTCTCAGGTAGTAAATTCATTCTCATACCTTCGAAGAACACAGGCGAAAAAGGTGATATTGGGTCATCAAAGCATGACAAATCCGGAGAACCCGAGAAGCAAGAGGAACATAAAATTGAAGCTATGCTAGAAGAAAAATTAGAACACATGAATGAACGAATAAGAAGCATAGAAGGAGTTGAGTCGTACGAGCCTATGGATGCATCAAAACTATGTCTAGTCCCAGATGTCGTGATTCCTCACAAATTTCAAATGCCAGAATTTGAAAGATACAATGGCACCACTTGCCCAAAAAGTCATCTGGTCATGTACTGTAACAAAATGGCCAACCATATTCGAGATGAAAGACTAATGGTACATTGCTTCCAAAACAGCCTGAGTGGTTCTGCCCTACGATGGTATATGCAACTAGAGAAAACAAAAGTAAGAAGATGGCAAGACCTAGCAGATGCATTCATGAGGCATTACAAGCATAACCAGGATCTGGCTCCAGACCGAGAAGATCTTAGGAATATGGAAAAGAATGAGAAAGAGTCTTTCAGAGAATATGCTCAAAGGTGGAGAGAGAAAGCTGCAGATGTTCAACCTCCTCTGTCAGAAAAAGAGATGGTGTCAATCTTCTTCGGAACACTAAGGGCTCCATACTACAACAACATGGTCGGAATTACGACAACCAACTTTGCGGATCTGCTTGTAATCGGAGAGCGAATAGAAAAGGGTTTGAAGCAAGGTCGGATGGAAACTCCAGAAGCCTCCAAGAAACCACACCAGGCCCGAAGAGGAGAAGCAGATGTCCATTATGCTCAAACAGAATCATCTAGAGGAAGAAGGTGGGATCATCAACCTCAGACCAATCAAGCCCATCCATGTGTTGCAAATGCTGCAATAATTAATCAACGTCCAAATTTTCCTACTCAACGAGCCATCCAGAGCCCGACACGAGTCGCACCACCACCAAATAACCAAAACCAGAATAATTATGAGAGGTTCAGGAAACCCATCCAAATCGATCCTATCCCTATCACGTACACTGAACTTTTCCCTCAGCTAATTCAAAGTAACCTAATCTCCCCAATACCATGTGAACCTATGAAACCTCCTTATCCAAATTGGTACAAAACAGACCAACATTGTGCTTACCACTCAGGAGTAGCGGGACACTCGACTGAGGATTGCAGATCGCTCAAGATCAAGGTCCAACAAATGATTAATACTGGCTGGTTAAAGTTCGAAGATGAGCCAAAGCGTCCAGATGTCAACAATAACCCACTGCCAACTCATGGGAATTAGTAGACATACTACAAGGCAAAGCTCGATTTAAGGATGATGTTGATCCTACCTAGTAAATAAAATATCGAGATAATTTGCCTTAGCAAAATATGTATCACTTCTGCTTTTATCATAATAAATAAAAGGTCTCTCACGTTTCGACCTCTTTGGAGCATTGTGTGACCACTATCAATCTAAATTTAAGAGTTTGCATCAATGTTTTTATCAAAATAACGAATGCCACTTCGGATTCTTTTTTTAAAACAGATTTATTTTCTCAAACATGAAAGCCATCAAAATCCAGTTTTATTTTCAAGCTAAGCCATGAGATTTTCATGCAAAGAAAATGTGAGCACCCCACTGGTGCTGAGATTTGGGACACCCCACTGGTGTCGAGCGATTATAAACACCATGCTACCATCGATAAATTTAGCACCCACTGCGTTGAGAGTGTACGTGTTTCGCTAAAATCAAGGGATAAACACCCTACTGGTGTCCATAAATTATGTGAGCTAATAGGAAAAAGGTGTAATGAGTATACGACATCATGCTACTTGTAGAATCTCGACACCACTATAGTCGACTTTCGCCAACGGATTGACATTCAGTTTACAAGAAGTCAAATGGTCAATCCCGATGCATAGGGAGCCAAAACATTAGCATCATACCAAGAAAACCCTCACAAGTGTCTAGTGACAAGAAGACCAGGAAGTTCAGGGATCCCATTTATCAAAACCCAAGAATCACACGAGTGAAGCACTCATCTATACAAACAAGCGCATGGTATCAAAATCCTCACTTCTATAAAAAGAATAGCCAATTCAACCTAGCTCACGAGAAGTGACACCCACACAATCAATCATCAAAATGGACTCTCGATCCTTTCAATACTCGTCCCACCAAAGACAAGCTCCAGATTAAGAAAGAAAAAGCATAGTCGGGGGCCTGACAGAGTCAAGTAAGTCCCACACGCAAAAAAAAAAAAAAAAAAAAAAAAAGCGAAAAGCAAAAAGTAAACAACAAAACAAAAGCAAAGCAAAGCAAAAAAAGACAAAAGAAGAACAAACAAAATGTCGTGGGACTTACAATCTGGGTGCCCCCGGTTTAGCATTTGAAGTACCGAATACCGGCACCAAGTCAGGGTCTTAGCAGATCAATCTCAAGATACGACAAGAAGGACCTTCAAACAGTAAACTATGATGATAAGAAAGTCGTTCTAGCCAAAACCTATCATCCAAAGTACTCATCATTTTGAGAGAAAGCCAGAAGCTGAAAATCCACAACATTCAACATTTAGAGGCCAAACAAGGACCTCGACAAGTCCCAAGCCAGATTGCATTCACGAAAATCACAGCCTCGGCTAGTGTAAAATACTGGGGGGCAAATCCAGTTGAAGATACCTTCTGAGAAAATCCACCAGTATTTTCGAACAAGACTTTGTCAGCAAAAAGATCCAGATAATAAGTGGTTCTTAATCCATCAAGTCAATCCCATACTTTGGGGGCAAATCCAAAATCCCTCTTCAAGAAGCTTTATACAGATATTGTCGAACTACACCTCAAGAACAAGGAGACTCGTATCCTCAAAGTCATATCGGACAAAAGCCTCTTTCATGGGAGACTAAAAATGTCTGCGACGAATCCATATGGAGGCCTCCTAATTCGTTCATACCAAGGGTTTCCATGTTTGAGTTAATCTTCACAAGGAAAACAGTTGGCCACAACATAAAGGCGACGTCTCAAGGTGACTAGAATCTTAATGGTAGCTGAAGTGTCGTACACTCAAATCACCTATAGGAATGAGTGATGAGCGAAATCCAAAGCGGGAGTGAGAGCGAGTAAAATCAAAAGCAAGAGTGAAAGCGAGGGCTTACTGATATTCTCATGGCTTGGTTTCCACTTCTCTTATTAAAAAGAAAACCAAATTTGGCAACGTGACAACTACCACATAAAAACGGTTTTCTCGAGTTTGCACACACTTCTCAAAAGCAAAGTCTTGACATGGCTTTCAATTTTAATTCTCTAATAAACGTTTTTCAAACATTTTTGCTTTCGTCTTAAATCAAGATTGATATAGTCACTCTTTGTTCCGAAGAATAGAAAGTGAGTAACGGATCTTCAGGGGCAAAAATGGTCCAACATGGAAGAAGGGGAAGTCTGATTACCCAAGAATCGGATTAATCAACTTTTCACGCATGAGTTGATGGGAAAATCTCAGGGAGTCTGAAAACATTCAGATCTCATTGAGCCAACCAGCCAATCGATTATGCTTCAAATGCATAGCAAGAAAGAAGTCCTATTATACCGCACTGACAGAGAATTATACGACTCTGAAACATGTGGTCCCATACCTGGCCGAGAAGAAGGATAAAGCAAAGTACACATCATCACTTCACCTTACAAAGCATATCATCGCACAACTACTACCAAGAAAATAAATTCAAGACAACGAGTTCAAAGTCACTCCAACATAAAGCATGACCTAAGGATCGAGTCAATCGAAAGGAAATGACGATTCCTGGAGGATGAGCAATTTAAAGGACCCCAGGTTAAAACACAAAATAAAAATCAAAGCAAAAACAAAACAACATATTTGCTTACCAATTGTAAATATCATCGTTTTGTCATTTTCACTCAACATTCATGACTTCACCAGCATGACATCATACATAACTATTTCAATACCCACTGCATAACATCATCATACGTCAAGGTGACTTGCTATGCATCACGATCACTTCCTAAAATTTCTAAAATATCTTTCTAAATGTCCATGAAAACCTTGTTATGCGAAATACCACTACGCATTTACCAAATGTTAGCTTGATCTTTATCGCTAACGCTTTCCTCATTGTTCTATTTGATTTCTATCATAGACAATTTGAGTACAATATCATTTACAAAATCGTTAGCTTGATCTTTATCGCTAACGCTTTCCTCATTGTTCTATTTGATTTCTATCATAGACAATTTGAGTACAATATCATTTACAAAATCGTTAGCTTGATCTTCATCGCTAACGCTTTCCTCATTATTCTATTTGATTTCTATCATAGACAATTTGAGTACAATATCATTTACAAAATCGTTAGCTTGATCTTTATCGCTAACGCTTTCCTCATTGTTCTATTTGATTTCTATCATAGACAATTTGAGTACAATATCATTTACAAAATCGTTAGCTTGATCTTCATCGCTAACGCTTTCCTCATTGTTCTATTTGATTTCTATCATAGACAATTTGAGTACAATATCATTTACAAAATCGTTAGCTTGATCTTTATCGCTAACGCTTTCCTCATTGTTCTATTTGATTTCTATCATAGACAATTTGAGTACAATATCATTTACAAAATCGTTAGCTTGATCTTTATCGCTAGCGCTTTCCTCATTGTTCTATTTGATTTCTATCATAGACAATTTGAGTACAATATCATTTATAAAATCGTTAGCTTGATCTTTATCGCTAACGCTTTCCTCACTGTTCTATTTGATTTCCACCATAGACAATTTGAGTACAATATCCTTTACCAAATCGTTAGCTTGATCTTTATCGCTAACATAGTCCTCATTGTTCTATTTGATTTCCATCATAGACAATTTGAGTACAATATCATTTACCAAATCGTTAGCTTGATCTTTATCGCTAACACTTTCCTCATTGTGCTATTTGATTTCTATCATAGACAATTTGAGTAAATCTCCTTACGAAATTGTTAGTTTGATATTTATCACTAACATCTTCTCATCGCTTGATTCGATTCCTATCGCGAGCAATTTGAGTACAATGTCCCTTGCAAAATTGTTAGTTTGATCTTTATCACTAACATCTTCCTCATTGTTTGATTTGATTTTTGTCAAAAACAATTTGAGTACATCGTCCTTATAAAATGATTAGCTTGACGCTATCGCTGTCATTCTACCATTGATTAGTTTGATTTCTACCATGGACAACTTGAGTACATCGTTGCTGGAACACTGTTAGCTTGATTTTATCGCTAGCACTTATTCCGATGTTCGTCAAAATTTCTGTCACAGACGACCTGATTATGTCATTGTTACAAAATGGTTAGCTTGATTTCATCGCTAACATGTTTCAAAATCGATCGATTTGTTTCTATCATGAAAAACGTGAGTATATCGTTGTTAGTTGTTACCGAATGGCCGGTTTGATTTCATCACTGCCATTTTCTTATACAATTTGGCTACCATCATCTTAACAATATGGATACGTCACTATTACCAAAGATCAGCTCAAATTCTACTTTTGAGGGTTTCACTTTTCAAAATGTGGTGTCTTTATAGAAACTTTGTATAACTCTTTATACAAAGAGATATACAAAGGGGGGCAACTGTAGACACCACATTTTGTCCGGAACATTCATGCTAGTTATATATATACATAAACAACTAATTGTAGCATCACAATGATATTTGGGGAAGGAAGTTTGAAATAATTTGGTTAAGACTAGCAGTAGCAAGTCAATATGAACCCCGCTCATATACAATCCAAGAATCAATTCGAATGGACACGAGGATAAGTACTATTTTGAAGCTTAATACGCTTTAGGTTTGGGTTTGAATTTGAGCATTGGTTTACAATGCATAGAAGAAAAGAACAAATCAATAAATACAAAAAAACATACTTCGCCATTTTATTTCTTCCATGATACATTTGATCGGGAATTACATAGATAACAAAGGAAAGATAGTAATTAAATATATGCAATTAAAAGACCACTCCTTTATAAACCGTGGACCTGCAACAGAAGAGAAGAACTAGTCAGTTCTCAAACCCATACACCAGGTCCACAATTTAATCCCAAACCAAAGTAGTTCAAGTCCAAGAAGTATAAAGCCAGTTTCTTTTCAAGCCCAAACATAAATCAGATCAGGCCCAACTCGGCCCAAACCCGACAGGCCCAACTCGGCCAACTGGTTCGATCCAGAGACCAGCCCAACACTCCGACCCAGACCAGTTTGGTCTAACCAAATCCTATCTACAACCGACCAGGCACACTCTTCAAAGTCATATTAAAAAAAATTGGACGAATCAAATAGTGACAAGTGGCGGTTTGATTTAGCTATAAGTAGAGCTCTTCAGCTCTTGATTTGGGGGGACGAAAAAAAGACAGAATGAGAAATTTCTAAACACACTGATTTCTTCATTACAACAGCAAACTCAGTCAAGAAATCTCAGGGGAGCAGCAATCAACGAAGTGTTCTTCGAGCAGAAATCCCAACAAGGTTGGTGCTTTTAACTCTACTTCCATGATTCGCGATTAATTTCATCTCATCTAGCATCGTTTTTACTCTATCGTTGTAATCGTCCATCAACTTGCCTACTCATATTAAAACGATTTACTTCGTGCAAACCCCTTTTCATTCAAGCGCTCTATTTATTCATACCAAGTTCACTCATGTAATTTCTTTTCGGATTAAGATGAGTTCAAATAAGCGCCTCCATGCTTTTACATCAATTTCTTATTTAAGTTTTGTCGATTGATTAGAATACTGACTATAACAACTAACAGTAGAAAGTAAAGTAGACAAACTTTAAAGAACCAAAACCTTTTTCTCTTTCGTATATTGGGGGTTATGATAGGTGTGATCCGGATCCAATAGGATCACCCTACATAATTATATTTCATATTTCGAACTCCACTTTGGCAAAGTCACAAGCAGAGGCAGTGATTTTTAGTTGCCAAAATTATCTATTTTAGAGCATATTAATTACTTCCCAGTTATAGAAAATTCATTTTTTTTCTTTTCTTTGTCATTTTTAGAAAAATCTAGCATCCCACGAGTTACTTCTAAAACTATCCACCAAACCACCAAGCATGAAAACATTCGAGATCATCAAACGCACATACAACATATTTTCGAACCACAGATCTGTAGGCTAAATCTAAACCGCACACAATCCTTTCCATTTTTTTTTTCAGTTTAACCTCCCTAGTCATACCAAAACCGAAGTTAGAAGAGCCTTACCCAGATCTGGATTTATTTCTCAAACCTACAAAAAAGAACGAACTAAATTAATTATTTTTGTTGATAATAAAAATGATAGATTAACATATATTAAGGAGCCGAAATCCTACCTTTCTTTTTTTGGAGACGAAGATCGTCATCGGCAGGATCTCGCCGCCGACCACATCCTAAACACAAGAAAATGAAATAAATATTAGTCGAATCCCAAATAAATCACCTAAAACGAATTGAAAAGATTTTGCATGTCAAGAACCTTACCTAGTTCGTCTATTTCCGATCGAAATAGGGAGGTTATAGTCATCCTTCTGCCTGATTCCAAAGAGGAGTCTTTCCTCATCTTCTGCCTTTTTCTTCCTCCTCACCGAAACCAAAACCCAGAAACCCTCGATTCAAAGAGAAAAAGGAAAGGTCAGAATCCCATAAAAAAAACAAAAGTCCAAAGAAAAGAAACATGCATGTCGAGTTTTTACCTTGATCGATTTCCCCCTTCACCGTCGATTAGGATTCCCAGTCAGACACGAGAGCGACGGCGGATTGAGGGGGTAAGAGTAGATAGCGACGGTTTTGGAGAGAGGAGGCTAGGGTTTCGGTCTGTGGAGAAGAGAGGGATGAGGGCGGCGGCTAGGTTTCTCTGGAGAAGATGAGGACGAGAGGGAGAAAGGCGAGGGTGAGAGAGAGGCGGAGGGTGAGGTCGGCTAGGGTTTCCTTTTTTTTCTCTGAGAGTGAAGAAGAGAGGCGAGAGTTAGAGAGAGGAGAGAACGGCGGACAAAAAATGAGAGGAGAGAGGTTGAGCGGCGGCCGCTAGCTCTGAATAGATAGGGTTTGATTTTTTCGACCTAAGAGATGAATATATACCCCCTAATTTGAAATGACAAAAATGCCCTTAGGGTTTCCAAATATTAACGCGGCCGTGCCACCGCGTTTTTGGGTAATTACCACAATACCCTTTCCCCTTCTCTGCTCTAAAACGAGATAAACAAAAATTTGTAGTTAGCGCGTTTCGAACCCTTGTTCTCTCGGTTAAACGCGAATTTGGTCTGGCGTTTTAGCCAGTTGGGCTGCTGGCCCTCATGCGTCAATATTATAATCCCGTATAGTTTTATTCATTTAAAATCCTTAATACGAAATGTAGAATTGCGGATTAAGTATATCTCGTTTCTTTTCTAATACATCAAAACTCCTCTTAATAATTGAAATTATTACATTATCTTTTTATAATTTCATAATACCAACCTAAATTTTACTAACAATTAATTTTGATACGAGAACCACGACCAGTGGAATGTGGTAATAACTTTACTTAAAATATTCAAAGTCCTAACGAACTACGTGGACTTTGATCCCGTCTAACGGGTACGTAGGCAACCGATAAGGTTCGAGTCCAACTAACCAATTAACTTTATCGTTTACGTCAGTGGGCGTATAATTAAATTACAACTAATATGATTAAATCATTAAATGGTCCAGTGGGACCCCTAAAATTACAAATTATTACTAAAAATACACCCAACTCGTATAAAACTTATCGACTTAAGTAGTACCGATTTAGGGCGTTGTGGGGGTGTTGCTTAACTTCCCTACACGTAACCGTACTCCCGAACCCAGAACTTCATTTTCGCAGACCATATCTCGGTTCTGACCCTAAGGTTTGAGCCGATCCTAAGAGTGTTCGATCCACTCCAACTAAGATCGATGGCGACTCCCAAAAATGCCGACGCGACGACGTTCGGACCCCCCGGACGGGACGGTTGCGACAGGGGCGAATGCGTCATGACTGCTGCCTACTTAATTAATCGATTACCGACTGTGGCTACCGGTAACAAGACTCCTTATGAGATCCTCTTCAACAAGCCTGCTCCCTACGACCATCTTCGCTTTTTTGGCTGTTTGGTGTATTGTAAAGACACCCATGCTAGCCTTGGAAAATTTGCCGAACGAGGCAAAGCTTGTGTCTTCTTGGGCTATGCCGCTAGTCAAAAGGGCTATCGAGCTTACGATCTGACGTCCCACAAAATGCTCACCAGCAGAGACGTTGTTTTTCATGAGTCCGTTTTCCCATTTAGTCCTGCTGTCTCTCACGAGTTCAATTGGGTTTCTCCACAGGTTTTTACTCGGCCTGCCTTTGAGGATGACACCGAGTTTGCGGCTCCTCCACTCACCGATTCTCCCAGCTCCTCGGCCCAACCTGGCCCAGTCCCACCTGCTCGGCCCACACCCGGCTCTCCCAGCTCCTTGGATCCTCCCACCACGGCATCAGGGCCGGGCCCATCCTCACAGCCCAGTCCCGTCCCCTCGGGTTCTTCCGTCCATGATGGGGCCCACTCCACACCGGCCTCCCTAGTTGCGGCCCCTCTTGTGCAGGCTCCCCCTGCTCTTCGTCGTGGGGATCGGACACGGGTTAAACCCAAACATTTGGACATCTACTACACAGACAGTGATGCCAATGCAGTTCGGTACCCTCTCTCTTCTCACCTTGTTTATGATAAAGTCACACCGGCCTATCGTGCCTTTGTTGCTGCTGTTGCTTTGCATAGGGAGCCCCGCACCTTCCGTGAGGCCGTTCTTGATGAACGATGGCGTCGTGCCATGCAGGCTGAGATCACTGCCCTTGAAGAAAATGGTACATGGAGTCTCGTCTTTTTACCCCCTGGTAAACGTGCTATTGACTGCAAATGGGTTTACAAGATTAAGTTTCTTCCGGATGGTACCATCGAGCGTTACAAAGCCCGTCTCGTGGCTAAAGGCTACACTCAGATTGAGGGTGTTGACTTTCATGATACCTTCGCTCCGGTGGCTAAGCTCGTTACAGTTCGGTGTTTACTTGCTGTGGCAGTCAGTAAGGGCTGGTTCATTCATCAGTTGGATGTCAACAATGCGTTTCTTCACGGTGATCTTGATGAAGAAGTTTATATGCGCATTCCACAGGGTTTTGCTGCTCCGGGGGAGACTCGCGTCTGTCGTCTTCACAAGTCTCTGTACGGTTTACGTCAGGCCTCTCGCAACTGGTATCACAAATTCACTACTGCACTTTGTGAGCTCCAGTTTCGCTCCTCCCCAGCTGATCATTCTCTTTTCATTTATCACCGGGGGAGCACTTTTGTGGTTTCCCTCATCTATGTCGACGATGTCCTTCTGGCTGGTAATGACCTCGACTTCATCACCCGTGTCAAGTCTTTTCTCCATGACAGGTTTACTATCAAGGATCTTGGCAGCATCCGCTACTTCTTGGGGATAGAGGCAGCCCGCTCTCCTCAAGGTCTTATTCTAAGTCAACGCAAATATGTTCTCGACATCCTTTCTGATGCTGGTATCACTGGTGGTCGTCGCAGTGCCTTTCCTGTTGAACAAAATCATCATCTCACCCGTGTCACTGATACAGATCTTCTCGAGGACCCCTCTACCTATCGGCGCCTTGTCGGTCGTCTTCTCTATCTGACGGTCACCCGACCCGACATTTGTTATGGGGTTAATATACTCAGTCAGGCTGTGCAAGCCCCTACTCATGCTCACATGGCCGCTGCTCATCGCATTCTTCGGTACCTGAAGTCGTCTCCGGGTCGAAGCTGAATATCGTGCGATGGCAAGCACGGTTAGTGAACTCATTTGGTTACGATGGCTTCTTCGTGAACTAGGTGCGCCTCAACTGGATCCTACCCCCCTCTCTTGTGATAATCAGGCCGCGTTGCACATCGCTGCTAATCCAGTCTTCCACGAGCGAACAAAGCATGTTGAAATGGATTGCTACTTCGTTCGGGAACGTGTTCAGTCTCGTGATATTGCTCCTCTCAAGGTCTCGTCTCACCTACAACTCGCCGACGTCCTTACCAAGGGCCTCGGCGCCGAACGCTTCCGTTTTCTCGTGTCCAAGCTGGGTATTCGTGATCTTCACGCTCCAGCTTGCGGGGGAGTATTGGAGGCACTCGAGCCCACTCAGCCCTCGGCCCAGTCATCGGCCCACACGGTTAGAATGCCTCCATGTGTAAAGGCAAATTATGTATTCTGTGAAACCCTAGTAGCTAGAAGCAAAAGGTATAAATACTTGTGTATGGCAGCCGACCACATTGAGTAATCATCAATAAGAATTCACAAACTGGAGAGGCATTCCTCTCCCGTGGACTAGTCCCGTACCTACGGGGATACCACGTAAATCGATCTTGTTCTCTCTTTTCCGCACTACAATCTCGATATTTTACAGAATTGCTATAAAATTTCACGTTTGCCATTCAAATTAATTGTGCAATTATGTTTGGTTGTCCCAAATTAACTGCTTAATTGCAAGTTTGTCACTCGAATTGCTATAAAATTTCACGTTTGCCATTCAAATTAATTTATTCCATTTATAGTCACTCGAATTAGTTGAACAGTTCAAGTTCGGTCACTCTCCGTTAACCACCGTTAACTTTGACTGACGTGGCGGTCAACTCTGACAGTTGACCGTTAAATGTGTGACGTGGCAATTAAAAAATAAAAATTAAATTTTTAGAAATTACACATCATTATAAAATAATTATAATTATAAAAAATGAAAAAAAGAAATTATAATTATAATTTTTAACGGTCCACATCCAGTATAGTTTGACGAGATTTATGTGCCTGACTTCCCTCAAAACCTCGCATTCAGCTCTGAAGCTCTTCGCAGCTGCTGGGTGAAGAAGATTTAAATTTTGAGGAGAAAAATCTCTTTGTAGACACAACCGAAACTTCCGGTTCCGATCAAATTTTGAGGAGAGAAATCTCCAGTCGCCTTCCGCAGGCTGTGGTAACTCATTTGGGGGAGGCGATTCGGTGAAGCTTCTTCATCTGGTTCCACTCTCTTCTTCCTTTTGAAACAAAGTAGAAACAGGGGAGATAAAAACAGAGCAAGCAAGGCCAAGCTGGAAGCTCCAATTATCATGGCTTTCTCGGCAGTGGAAAATCTCTTTGCTTTACTCTTCTCCTTCAATTTGCCACAAACAGGCAGTCGGAATTCAGAACACCCCCCCCCCCCCCCCCCCCCCCCCGTATAGTTCTCCGAAATCGAAGCCGCGATCGAGTTTCTGAACACGCCTTCATTCGGCACTCTGCCATGGAATCTGTTGAATGAAAGATTCAAGCTCGTCACCGGCTGGAAGCTCCCGATGAACTCCGGGATTTCTCCAGTCAAATTGTTGTTCGCAAAGTTCAAGACTTGAATACCCTTTAACGAACTGAGAGATAAGGGGATGGATCCCTGGAAGGAATTGCTCTGCAACAGAAGCGTCTCCAGTCTAACGCAGCTTCCGACGTTAGTCGGAATTTCGCCGGATCCGAGATTTCTTAAAGTCCCTACTTGTCTTGGCAAGGAGCCTGTCAATCTGTTCTTCGCCAGGCCCAAGTAGATGGTCAGAGAAGAAATGCTCAGAAGTTCTCCAGGGATTTCTCCGGCGAGATTGTTTCCGGCGAGATTCAGTGACTGTAAATTCCGGCAGTTCCCCATGCTTGGAGGAATTTCCCCCTGAATCGAACTATACTGCATGTGGACCGTTAAATGTGTGATAATTTCTTTTTTTTTCTTTTTTTATAATTATAATTTTTTGTGATAATGATTTGTAATTTCTAAAAATTTAATTTTTATTTTTAAATTATTTTTTATTTGCCACGTCACACATTTAACGGTCAACTGTCAGAGTTGACCGCCACGTCAGTCAAAGTTAACGGAGGTTAACGGAGAGTGACCGAACTTCAACTGTTCAACTAATTCGAGTGACTATAAATGGAATACATTAATTTGAGTGGCAAACGTGAAATTTTATAGCAATTCGAGTGACAAACTTGCAATTAAGCAGTTAATTTGGGACAACCAAACATAATTGCACAATTAAGCCCAAGAGTCTAATCGGTGGGCTGAATCAGTGGGCCTAGGGATCCCTCTGTCAGCCCAACTCTCAATCAAATCCCGACAGAGTAATTAACCGAAATAACTGCAATAAAAAAAGGCTCACGAGCGTTACTCTGCAAAGAAATTTGGTCAGCCCCATAATTTGCTCCCCCAATTACCGACAGCCACGTGGACGCCATTTGTCGTCTCAATAGTACTTTCTTTCCATCCAACGGCCACGTTTACTCCACACGACCCCGTCCCTATCTTTCTTTTCGATCGTCCGCAAGGTTGTTAAACCCCTATCGAACCCCCCGGTTGGATCCGGTTCAACTCGAGTCGGGCTTCAAAACGGCCTCCAGAAAACCCCCCGGTCTGACCCCTAAACAGGGAGAAAAAGAGAGGCAAAAGAGAGGAAAAAGAAAGAAGGAAGGGAAATGGTAGGTGGATCATGGAGGTTAGGTAGATTTATTTTGTTGAAAATAAGTTTTTAATAGATATATGTAAGATAAATTTTATTTCACTCATTAAATTTTTAATTACTACTTTATTGGCTAAATTACACGTTTGGTCACTCATATTACATTTATGTTTCACGTTTGCCACTCGAATTACTTTTCTTTCTTATTCGCCACTAACTTTACGAATTGTTTCACCGTTAGTCACCTGCCGTTACACTCCGTTAAGTTTGTCCTACGTGGCAGTCAACAGTAAAGTTTGACCGTTAACCAGATGACATGGAAATTTAAAAAAAAAAATAAATTTTCACATCATCATTCCCACTTACTTTATCTATATTAATTATTCAATAAAAGTTAATTAAACTACAAAAATTATGTGTTCATTCTCCGGAACCTTGCAGAATTTCGAACACCCCTAGAGAATCTAAAGCTCTTGAACCTCAGCTTCAACTACTTCAATGGCGAGATCCCTCCCTCGTTCCAGCGATTTCCGCTCCATTCCTACTACGGCAACGCCTTGCTCTGCGGCCAGCTGCTCGACGGCGGATTCCTCACTGCCTCTTCCACCTCCCCCTTCGTATCAGCTCACATCCTCCAATTCCACTAGGAAGAGGAAGCTAAGCAGGAATTTCATCATCACGGTATCAATTGCAGGGGCGACGATTCTTTTGATGGTGGTTCTGTTAGCGTTGGCGTCGGAGGAAAAATGGGAAACGAAAAGGCGAAGGAGGAAACAACAACGCCAAAACGAAGTCGTTTGGGAGCAGAGTGCAAGGTGCGAAGAAGAACAAGCTCTTCTTGTTCGAAGGGAGTGGCCGAGTGGGAGTGGGTACAGTTTTGATTAGGAATATATGCTGAGGGCGTCAGCGGAAGTTTTGGGGAAAGGGAGCTTGGGGGCGACGAACAAGGCGGCGCTGGAGGACGGATGCTGCGTGGCGGTGATTGGTGAAGCGGCTGAGAAGGCTCCCGTCCGAATGTGGTTCCTCTGAAAGCTTACTATTATTCCAAAGATGAGAAGCTCTTGGTTTATAATTACTTCCCCGTCGGTAGCTCCTCCTCCCTCTTACAATGTAAGTAGATAATAGATCACTCAGATCTTACTTTCAATTGATATCATTGGGTATTTGCTTTAGCCTCAACCGAATGGAATTAGGGTTGTTAACATATTCTAGAACGTTAATGGAGAAGGAATGAGAAGGCCGCTAGTGTGGGAACCAAGAATGAAGATCGTCATCGGAGCAGCGAGAGGAATCGCACTCATTCATTCCCAATTCGACGGAGCAGCGAGAGTAATCACCCACAATCAGCCCGTCACCTGTGGCCGCACAATGATTTTTCTTCCTCGCCGGAAAAAGCTAGTGCTCTGTTTCAACTATTAAATCTTCCCGGCCGCTATTAATTAATTTTTTTAATTTAGTTAAATTTTAGTAAATGATTAATATGATAAATTATATAGACAAAGTAAGTGGGATGATGAGGTGGAAAATTAAAAATTTTATTTTTATTTTTTTTTAAATTTACACGTCATCTAGTTAACGGTCAAATTTTAAAGTTGACTGCCACGTAGGAAAAATTTAACGGAGTGTAACGGCCGGTGACTAACGGTGAAACGATTCGTAAAGTTAGTGGCGAATAAGAAAGAAAAGTAATTCGAGTGGCAAATGTGAAATATTTATGTAATTTGAGTGACCAAACGTGTAATTTAGCCCTACTTTATTTGTATATATATTTAGAAAACGTCTAAAACGGCTCAAACCGGCCGGACCCCGATCAAACCATTAAACCTCAAATCCCTTACTTGACCGGCTCAATGACTTAAACCGGTTTGACAACCTTTATCGTCCGTTTCTCCTCCTTTCTCCCAGATTCTCACCACCGTCCGATCAATAAGTTGAGAAAACTGCTCGTCATAAAATCAGCGCAGAAAGAAAACGTGAGCCCCACCTGGGCTAGGGACTTCCGTTAAGTACGTTCCAAACCGGTCCAGAATTGAAACCCAAGTTGTATCATAATTTGATTCGGGATAAAATATACTCAGTTCGGTTTAGTTAATTGAATTCCGATTTGGTCCGTTTAATTGATCTAGCTAGTGAGTTGGGTTCAAAATTATCTCACAAATGTACAATGAAAACCTAAACAAATTACACCAATCCATTCTGGTTTTGGTTTGAATATCGATTCGATTACTTGACATGAACGACAACCAGAAAGAAACCAAAAAAATTGACAACAGACCGAATGGGTCGCCAACCATCAACCGACCCATGGTTGATTGTCGTTTTCCTCTGACCAGTTGCTGTAACCGTTTCATTTCCGTACTCCTTCTCTATATAACTCCACTACCTCTCCTTCCCCAACCCTCCTCAGTCTTGCTCCTGCAAGCAACAACAAAACCAAAACCAAAACCAAAAAAAAAAAAAAATGTGCGGTGGTGCGATTATTTCCGGTTACGTCGACGAGAAGAGGGGTCGGCGGTTGAAGGCCAAGGAGCTCTGGTCGGAGCTCGACACACTCTCCGACTTCCTCGGCTTTGGCTTCCCCGGCGGCAACAAAGATATTAAACCCATTAATCATCCAGGTAAAAAAAAAAAAAATCAATCACCTCCGCTTTCTTTTTAGGGATTTCAATTTCTTCCCCCTTTGTCGTTCGATTGGGATCGGCTGTGGTACCGACTCCGGCTTCCGTTCTTCAATTGATTGCAGGCGCTGCGGCGGATGATGAGGTAAAGAGTAGCAACGGGGCGAATCGTTACAATAACGATGATAAAAGAGCCCGGCGGCAGATCAGAGGTCGGAAGAACGTGTACAGAGGGATAAGGCAGCGGCCGTGGGGGAAATGGGCGGCGGAGATCAGGGATCCGTACAAGGGCGTCAGAGTCTGGCTGGGAACCTACAACACCGCGGAGGAAGCCGCTCTGGCTTACGACGGCGCCGCCAAGCGGATCCGCGGCGACAAGGCCAAGCTCAATTTCCCGGACATCTCCGCCGCCTTTCAATTCCCTCCGCCGCAGCCGGCTGGCCAAGGGGAACAAGAAGATCAACAACAACAAGGAGCAGCCCCGGTTTCATCCTCTCCTGCTCCCGAAACCCAGCCGCCGGCCAAGAAGCGGTGCATCGCCGTCGGATCCGAAACCGTCCTTCCTCCGCCGCAACAGGAGGCGCAGTCGTTTCTGGGATACGGGCTGGAAGAGCAAATCTCGAGCCTGGAATCGTTCCTGGGGCTGGAGCCGGAAGCAGGGGAGGGGATCCCGGCTGTCATCGGAGGCGGTGGTGAAGCGGCGGAGGGTCTTTGGATGCTGGATGACTTGGTGAACCAGTGCCAGTACCAGTACCAGCAGCAGCTGCTCCTGCCACGTCAGGTGGCTTACTGAAAGAGAAAAGAGATAGACAGAGACGGGGAGATTTGCAGAAGAAATAAAAACAGGGGAAGAGATTAAGTTGATGACGCAATTACCAATTATGAGCTACTGGTTAAGGCCGGTGGCGTTTCAGTTTATATGTATTAATTAAGGGTACTCTAAACTAAATACTTCCCGCTTAATTTTCTCTTTGAGTTTGGGGGGCAATCTGGCGCTGGTTTCAGTGGCCTGTTTGTTTAAAAATAACATTTAATCAAGGTATTTTGGGTATAAGTTCATACTTCATTTTCCCCTTTAAACTGAACCTACAAACGATAACAAAACTTTCGCGTATTTGTTTAGTTCACACTAACACACACGTACCATATGGAATTACATGTTCGTATATTCTTTCGACCTGTAAATGAAGTGAGTGGTTTTCAAAGTCAATCCATTATGGTACCGACGTACCGTATTCTTACGACCCATTTAACTATCGAGAAGGGAAGTATAGTAACTAATTAACTCGGCTTTTTGTGGTGTTTTGTAGTTTGTGAGATTGATGTGTGAATTGGAGCTGCAGGATGTAGTTATACAGACTAGTGGCCGCCGTATTTTGGTACGGGTGTACAGTATTTAGATGAGAAAGTTATATAAATACGTATATATGTATTTATACGGCGGGGTGATGTATATGGTACGTAGCAAATTAAAAAAATTGTGTGTGTTTGCAAGGTGAAGATAGTTATCTACCATTTTGGAATTGAGCTCTTCTGGAAACCTCTCCTTGTCCCGTTTTCACCAACTTGTTTACTATTAATTGGTTTCTTTCCATTCATCATTTTGTTACCAAGAAAAAAGAGAGCATATTGGTTACTCAAAGGCATGGTTATCACGCCGGCCGGTGTGACACTGGTTGAACCTGTACCGGTCATAAAACCGGTATGACACCATCGGTATGACTGGCATGATCGATATACGAATCTCTAAGTAAACTGATCTTATATTAGTGAATTTATTTGATAAAAAGTAATTTATTATTTATTTTATGTGTTAAAAAGTTAAATGTTGATGTTATTTGTTGGATTCAAGTACAAATATTTAGGTATTGACGTTAAATGTCATGCTTAAATATGGGTATTTGTAAATTATTTGTAATATTAACCGGCATGAACCGACACAAACTGGTATGTACCACCGGTCGAACCATTCCACTTGCTAAACCGGCACACTAGCACAAACCGGTTTGACAACCTTGCACAGCATGGAAGAAAAGAATGAAGACCTTCTTGTGGGGTGTCGACGAGGATCTCTGGACGGTGGTGCGTGATGGTCCGGTTGCCATGGAGGATGCTGAGCAACACTTGGTCTGCTCTTCAAAAGAAGAGCGCCCAACTTAATCAGCGGGCTATGCACATTCTCCAGTCAGCCATGGCACCTGATGAAGCCGATAAAGTGGAACACTACGAATCAGCTCGAGAGATTTGGACTTCACTCGAAAGCACATACGAAGGAACCTCGAACATCAAAGAAACCAGAATTGACCTTCTGGTCCACGAGTATGAATGCTTCGAAATGGCTTCAGGTGAGAGAATTCATGAAATGTACTCTCGTTTTACTGTTCTTATAAACAAACTGAAAGGTCTAGGGAAAACTTATCTTCTTAAAGATCTAAATAGAAAAATCTTGAGGTCCCTCCCTAAACAGTGGTTGCCTAAGAGAACCGCTATTGAAAAGGCTAGGAACTTGAATACTCTATCAATAGATGAATTAATCGGATCGCTTCTGAGTCATGAACATGTCCTTAAACAAGTCAATAAGGATGATGAAAAGTGCAAGAAAGGTCTAGCCTTTAAATCTCATGTAGTTGATTATGACTCTGATAGTGATCTAGGTGATGAATTCAATAGAGAGTTCGCTTTAATAAGCAACAAGTTTCACAGGATGCTTAAGTGCAAGCAAGAACAGAAACAAAAGTCATATGATCGAAATAATTCTTATCCTGCTAACCCTTTTGACAAAGTCAAAAACTCTTTTCAAGATAGGCTGCGTACTCCGCATACCAAGCATGTTGAAACAGGAACTCTAGACAAGGAAGCACAGGACTGCTACAAGTGTGGGAAGCCAGGACATATTCGTGCCAATTGTCCCCTCACACTAAAAGCAAAAGAAAAGGCCTTGAAGGCTACATGGAGTGATTATGAGTCCGACGAAGAGGAGTGTGAAGGGGAGGAAAGAGCACTCATGGCATACATAGAACCTTCTCAAAGAAATCAGCAACCCTGCAACATCTATGAAGATTCACAGTGGTACCTTGATAGCGGGTGCTCACATCATATGTTTGGTAAGAACTATCTGTTCAATTCACTTGTTATGAAACGTGGAGGTAAAGTAACTTTCGGAGATGATAGTCAAGGGATAATAGTTGGCTCTGGTAACATAGGCAAATCACCTGGTCCATTCATTAAGAATGTGTTGCTTGTGGATGGTTTGAAGCATAACCTATTATCTATAAGTCAACTCTGCAGCAATGGTAATCGGGTTATTTTTTAAAACAACAAATGTTCTGTAGAACAAGTCAATGAAAATAAAACCCTCTTCATAGGAAAAAGAGTCAACAACATGTATCTTGTGGATGTGTCTGACTTAAGCATGTTTAACGCTAAATGTCTTCAAGTCACATCTATTTCCTCGGAACTTCTTTGGCACAAACGTCTCGGACACGTCAGCATTCCCAAGTTAGCTGTTTTGTCCAAACTTAGCTTAGTCAGAGGAATACCTAAACTCACATATAAGGCAGAACCTGTCCCAGGTCAGTAACTCTTATGGTGAGTAACCATCAGTAACCTGTCCACATCCGCATGACATCAGATAAATCAGATTTCTCTCTCGTTTAATCTTTAACGGACGATTTCTCTCTCGTTTTAAGTCGATTTTTTTTTGCACAGATAAATCAGATTAAATGTGCTCTTTTAAATTATATCCACTTTGATATATTTTTAGTACAAAAAAAATTGAATAATTTTTTACCAGTCATTACCATATGGTATGCTCAATTTTAATACCATATGGTAAGAAAGCGTACCATATGGTATGGAGATTAGATCCAATAGATCATGATTAAATCGTTCCTTTTGTGCAAAAATTTCCGAAAATGACTAAACAACGAAGGAGATACCATATGGTATGGAGTTGGTAACGAGAGGGATGAAAAATTTTTCTCCAAAAATATTGAAAATGGATATCATTTTGTAGAGCACAACGAATTCATTCCATCTGTGCAAAAAAAATTGAATCACAGTTAGAATGAAGAAGATATGATCCAATTAAAAAAATTAGGGAAAATAAATTCCTTTAATTCTCCACCCTTAGATCTGCAGCCACTTAAAAGAAGAATCCAGATTTGGTTACTTATTGTTACTCACCCTAAAGTTACTCACCCTATCATGAGCCTGAATTACCCCTACATTTTTTTTACCCACCCATCGCTGAAAAGAAAAGGAAGGTGCATGGATATGCCTTGAAAAGTGAAAACCATCCGGCTCTGAAATTCTTGCTATGTTTTGACTTTTGACTACTCGAGATTACAGAGAATAGCATTGTAGCTGATGGTGGTTAAGTGTTAACTCATAATAATCGAAAAAACTAAGTGTTGGATTGAAAGTGTATACCATCAAGATTTAGTGGATTTCAATAACTCCGAAATGGTTGGAAAAAAAAAAGTTGAAGTATAACTGTTATTCAGTTTATGAAACTTGGGAGCGGAGCAATTTATTAATACAGAAAGGCAAAGTCTAATGAAAACATAGAGGAGGGAAGCAAGAGGTTAAGCAATCAATCAACTCATAAGCTGTTCCTGTATTAATGTAATATCATTACCTTAATTATACATCTTCTAAAATCAAAGTGAATCTACAAACTTGAGATTGCACACCTAATATTATGACCTAACTTAAATCGAACGATAATATTCAGACTCGTAATTAGAATTCAAACAAGAAAATGCTTTACTTTGACCAGGCTTGCTGTGTCTCTACAGAGAGTGATGCAAGAGAAGAGCTTAATTCGACGAAAAGAGAGAAAATGTGGACGCCACGAGCACAATGGAAATCATGATTAAGCATTAATTATGTTCAGGTGGTCACCTTAATCAAGATCGCATATAGGAAATGAATAGTTTTTTATAAGTGAAATTATTTATAATCATTCGGCAGTAGAGATGCATGCATGAACACAACCCCTAAAAACATTATTATCATATAAAAAATAGCATCTAAAGTGGGACCTTTAATATGGCATTTTCAAACAACCCACATGGAGATTTCTTGTAGTTGCAGGCAACTGAAAAATCAAGGCAATTCTTTAAACAATTTTTTTCCACAGATCTGGACATCTGGTCCGATTCTAGATTAGATCAGACTTTAAAACCCATCTAGTTCTGGTCTTCATCTCTTTCAGTTAAAATGAAGACCACAATTGGTACAAAATCAAGCAATGATTCGGTTAAAATGTAAAGTTCGACGACAATTCTCTCTTATTAGATCATCGAAGCCTTACAAAATTTTGAGGTTTGAAACTTAAACTATGACAATTTGCTCATCCGTATGCTTACAATGATGGATAGATCAAGTAAGAATCAACAGATCTACCGATATAACAGGTCTATGTGCAGTTGTACACCTAGCGAACTCAAAATCACAAATAACCATCATCCAGTTCTGAACTGGAAGCCGACATATAAATGCGGTGAAAATTTAAGATATTAACTTGTTTTTTTTTAAATTTTAACTGCAACGTCACTCATTTAACGATCAACTATGAGGGTTGACTGTCATATGAGATAAAGTTAACGGAGTTGGACAGTCAGTGACCAAACTTGAACTATTAAACTAATCTTAGTGACCGCGAAAGAATAAAATATTTTGAGTGACCAAACATGAATTTTTTTAGTAAACTCGGTGACCAAACTTGCAATTTACCCCGATGACTAATATCAAATTGGCATCTATAGAATCCTAGGAAGGTGATGTCTCGATTTTAAATGAGTGGAGTCTAGTAGAATTTTGATCTTAAGTTGAGTTCAACTCGTTAATAAATGAGTTGAGATCATGAGCCGATGTTGAGTTGGCTTGTTTATTGATACATTAGCTCGTATTTGTCTTGAGGTCAACTCAAGATTGACTCATTACGAGCTCACGAGCTCTAATTGAGTGTGGCTCATCGATCAGCTCATGCTCGAGGTTGAGTAGAAAATTATTTAATTTATAAGTTTTAATTGTTCTTATTATGTTATCTAATAGTTAACATCTAGACAATATATTATAAATAATTTATCTTTCAAATTATAAAGGGTACATTTGCTACTAATAATATTTTTATTCCATTCATAATCACTAAGATTAGTTCAGTAGTTCGAGTTTGGTCACTAACCGTCCAACTCCGTTAAATTTATCTTATGTGATAATCATCTCTCCTAGATGGCTGTTAAAAATTTAGGGTTTTTTCAATGAAAATTTTAGCAGAAGGACATGTTTGATAATTTTATCAAAGTATATGGACATGTTTGATCTAAAAAATAGAGGAAGAATATGTTTGATAAAACGTGAGAGTGACATACTATACCTATAACCCAAAAATTTAATGAGACTGTGCGAGTCAAGCCCCAATGTCAAATGGGCTTGTGAACCTTACAAGCCGAACAAGTGTGACTGGTATCATGGGTTTCTCACTAGGCAAATATTTTGAGGCCCCTAGTTTCGTCATCATTGGAGGCCCAGTCCAAACTGAAATACGACAACCCTACCGCGACTCTGGAAGATAAACCTTTCATCCAGCCTCTATCTGTTAAGAGTTAAGTATGATTAGGCTGCTGTTTAATTGAGCTGTAGGAGATTAGTGTTAATAAAGAGCCCATTTAATGTTAAGCTCATGCATCACGTTAAGCCCATGCAAGGGTTAGACGAGGGCAGAGCTGATTCTACCCTAGCTCTCGTGGGGTGTATATAAGGGAGAAAGGAGATTGTAGCTGTACATTGATTCATCGATTCTTCTCAGTAAAATCAGTAGTCTGAAGAGCGTTCAAAGCTCTTCCGTGGATTAGTCCTGGATATCCAGGGATACAACGTAAACTCCGGTGTCTGTGTTTGATTACATTTCCGTACTGTTCTTAATCCGTCTCCGTTTAATTAACACTATCCCCCTGAAAAGTGAAAACCCTTCAGTTTGCTGCGTTCCGTCGTCAGTCGGTGGGAGAAAAGGGAAGGACCGATGGTGTCGTTGAAGCTCCTCCAGAAGCGGCTCGCCGCTAGCGTGCTCGATTGCGGCAAGAAGAAGATTTGGCTCGATCCTAATGAGGTCAATGAAATCTCCATGGCCAACTCCAGTAAGTTTCTTCGTTTCTTGCCTTCTCTAGAACTAGTTTTTTTTTGCCTTTTCTAGTCGTTTCATCTACCGCGAGCTGGAGTTGGCTGCGTAGATTAAATCGAGGGTGTATTCGTAACAGTTTATAACGTTGGTGAGTAGTTGCCGGCGGGAAGTCTCTGCGTTGCAGTTCGTTTCCTTTTGCGGCGTTACGAATTTAGGTTTGAATCAGGGATTTTTAAAATTTTGCAGGGCAGAACATCCGGAAGCTGGTTAAAGATCCACTCGAGGTCTCGTGCGAGGAGGATGAAGGAGGCCAAGAGAAAGGGTCGCCACTCTGGATATGGTACGGTGCTGTGATTCGTCCGGCTCTTTTTTGCTTTGGTGCTTTGTTCCAACTGAATTTCGAAGGTGTTCTTTAGGTAAGAGAAAGGGTACCCGCGAGGCGAGGCTGCCAACCAAGATCCTGTGGATGAGGAGGATGCGAGTCCTGAGACGACTTCTGAGGAAGTACCGCGAGGCCAAGAAGATTGACAAGCACATGTACCACGACATGTACCAGAAGGTGAAGGGTAATGTGTTCAAGAACAAGCGCGTGCTGATGGAGAGCATCCACAAGTCCAAGGCCGAGAAGGCGAGAGAGAAGACGCTGTCTGATCAGTTCGAGGCCAAGCGTGCTAAGAACAAGACCAGCAGGAAGAGGAAGCTTGCCAGAAGGGAAGAGCGCTTTGCACAAGTAAGAAGATGACATTTACTTGCAATGCTTGGCTTCTTCATTTGTAACTTGTGCGGTGGCCGGTGAATGACCGATCATAACTGCGATTCTTTTGTGGAATTTCAGGGACCTGGGATGAAGGCAGAACCCACGCCTGCACCTCTGCCTACAGAGTAAGATTGCTACACATAGAATTTCCTGATTTTTTTCGTTTTGCCAAGTTGTTGACGGGTTCCTTTACCAGCTGGTTGCTTCAACTTTTGCAGGGGAGTAGTCAAGAAATCCAAGAAGTGAACTTTTCTATCCCAGAGGCCATTAGTTAGCTGACGTTTCATCCTGTGTTTATTATTTTTGTGGTGAATGATCTTCCTTCCAACTCTAATACAATATGAAGTTTTGGTATCATCTTTGTCCTCTGTGTTTGATCTTCAATGTGTGTTAGTGTCGGTGGATTCGGGTACAACGTTCACGATGCTACCGGCCGGGTTGTACAACTCCGTGGTGGCGGAGTTCGAGAATCGGGTCGGGCGGGTTCACGAGCGGGCGCGGGAAATCGAGGGTTCACTCTGTTACGTATAAATACATTTGAGTTCATTTCAACGACGAATTAAATCGTCAGTATGTATTCCCCAGGTCATAGGAAGAAAGTAAGTGCGAATCTTGTTAACGTAATTAGTCAGCTGATTAAGACATGGGGTAAACGTGTACTTTCAACCAACACTGCAGAAAGTGCACATTAACCCACTTGTCTGGGTGTATAGACTCAAAATATCAGGCAATTTAAACGGATAAATTGCAAATTTGGTCACCTGAATTACTAGTAAATTTCACGTTAGTCACTAGAATTACTTTATTCGTTCCGTAGTCATTTAGATTAGGTCAACAATTTAAGTTTGGTCACTGACCGTTAGTCCCCGTTAACTTTTGCTGATGTGGCGGTCAACTCTTATAGTTGACCGTTAAATAAGTGACGTGACAATTAAAAAAAAATATTTAATTTTTCATAATTTCCACATCATTATTACAATAAATTAAAAAATAATTCAAACAAAAAAAAAGTCACAAACAATGTCTTTGTCTCACACACTGTAAAAGTGCGAGCTTCTTCTGGATCTGGACTCTCTTCCCTCCGTCTCACGCTCTTCCTATCGTGCTAATTAAAAGACGCCATAAGAACTGTCACCAAAATTTTCCCCCGTTCCCAAATCCCTCATAAACCCTAGTACTTTGTTAGGGGTTGTTCCCCCTCTCTGATTCGCGGAATTTGTCCTCCGATGGAAGACGAAGAGGAAAGGAATTCAATTCCCCCAACCCCGCTTCTTCGGAAGGAGAGAACCATTCTACTACCCCTGCAACGGCCACATCGACTACGGAGTGCGAGTCAGAGGATTGCGCCGCCGACGAGCCTGAGTGTCGGACGGAGGCGGAAGGGTTGTCTTCTGAATCTCATGAACTGCCTCCCGGCGACGGGGATAGTGAGGCACAACTGTCGACGAGTAACCAGGGGGTGATGTGCTCGTTGAAAGCGGAACTTCTGGAGGCGAGAAAGGTTCAGAAGAGGAGGTTGCGGTTAAAAAAAGAGGACAATCCTGATTTGATTGGTGGAGAGGAAGAGAGTTGTAGATTGGCTGGAATGGCAATGTTGATTCACCTAGGAAAATGACGGGGAGGTTGTTGTGAATGATGAAACTGAGAGTGGGGCGGCAGAGACTCAAGAAATGGAGGAATTTGTGATGGTTGAGAAACTTAAGGAGGCAGAGATTGAAGATGATAAAGAGGAGAAGAAGCAGAAGGATTTGGTTGGGGAGATTGGATGATGCTCTTGAGGAGAAAGATTAGTGGAAATGGGTGATGTTTGTGACCTCTTTTTTGTTTGAATTATTTTTAAATTTATTGTAATAATGAGGTATAAATTATTAAAAATTAATTTTTTTAATTGCCACATTATTCATTTAACGATCAACTATAAGAGTTGACCGCCACATCGGCAAAAGTTAACGGAGACTAACGGCCAGTGACCAAACTTAAACTGTTAATCTAATCTAAGTGACTACGGATGGAATAAAGTAATTCTAGTGGCTAACGTGAAATTTACTAATAATTCAGGTGACCAAATTTGCAATTTTACCCAACTTAAACCAACCTAGACGTTCCTTCTTCCTTGCAGGTTACTTAGAGCAAAGATAACCTACAAGTCTTAATTCACTCATTTATTTTGTATGCAATGAAGAATACGTTACCTTGTACGTTTACTAATTCACCCTTACAGGGAAAATTGAAGGGGAAAAAAGGGTAAAAAGAAAGGTGGATGAAATGATGAACATTGGGGAAGAACTACTGCATAAACAGTCACTAAACTTTGGAGTTGCTGACATTTTCGTGAATTTAGATTCGTGTGAAATCCAGTATGTAAAATCTGAAATAACTATATAAAAAAATACTTTATTCGTAACTGACTAGTTTTTTCCGTTCAAATTGTTAAACTTTGTGTGTCCATATACCAATATACATGATAAGGCAGGTAAGATTCGCCTCTGATTAGTGTCGTGTAGGGGAGGGATCGATGTGGGTTTTGATAATATTGGTTGGATTTTATTTGATTAACCAGCTTTAATTTAGACCACGTATTCGTTAGAATGAGTTGTTCATGTACTCTAACAAAGGTCTTTGTATCTATATAATCCGTTTTTATTATAAAGTTGGTTAAGTTGACACATTATTATTGACAATGTGTTGAAAAACTTGTCGAAAGTAAAAGAGACGATGATTAACGTGTACAAGATAACCTCGAAGTGATTGCTAATGTAGTTCTTTCAAGTTTGTTTAAATGACAAGTTTGTTAAGAATCAAAGTTCCAATGACCAATTTGTTAATTGACTAAAGTTCAGTGACCGTTTGTGCTGTCGACACGCAGAAGTGTGGCCGGGCGGGCCAGCTGGCCAAGTTTACTCTTTGAAAGTTCCGCAGTCCACGTGACGACAATTGAAAGCTAGTTTGACAATTTTCTATTCATCTCTTCTTCTTCTTCTTCTTCTTCCAGTGTTTGGAAACCTTTTCCGCCCAAAAAATAATAATAAAATAAAAAATGCAAAAAAGGAGAGGAAAAAAATATCCGAAATATAGCGCAAACTCGAAACGTACAGCGCATTTCCAATTGTTCCACTTCATTCCTTCTTCCCTACAATCCTCGTTCCTGTCTCCGTCGCCATCTGCAATCTGCCATTCAATCGGTAGAGAGGAAGCTTTAGATCCAAGGAAACGTGGCCCCCTATCTAATCGGATTGACAGTCTTGTAATCCATACCCGATTCAGAATTACTCGTTAGCTTACAAGCGAAGATAGAAGGTGGAACGGATAAAATGGCGTCGTCTCAGCAGTTCATGGACGGAGGCGGGCCGCGGTACGTCCAAATGCAGTCGGAGTCCCCGCACCATCCGCCGCTGGCGCAGGCTGCGCCGGCGTTGTCGTCCTCGTTCTTCTCGTTCCAAGGTCCCGTCCCCGAGCAGTCGCGGATTTTCGAAGAGTTGCCGTGGGCCATCATCGTTCAGGTCTCCCGGCCTGATGCCGGAGATATTAGCCCCGTCCTCCTGTCTTACACCCTCGAGATTCAATACAAACAGGTACGATCAAACGATCTTTCGCTTCCTCTTTCTAATGTCGGGGTTTTTTTTTTTATTTGTGGTCAAATTCAGCGAAATTGCGTGTTTGTATGTGCTGAATATTGAAGCTGTCGTGTGATTCTGATGAATGGCGAGGTTGTATTGTGCGATGCGGTGGGGTTCTGCGTGTCCGTAGCTTAATTTGAAGCTGTTCTGCGATTAGATATTCTGGGTTTGATTCCTTCCCTTGCTTCAGATGGTCTTTTCTTACTAATTTTTGTTACAATTGTGTTTGCAGTTTAAGTGGCAACTGGTGAAGACGGGTGCGCAATTTTTATATTTGCACTTTGCGTTGAAGAAACGAGCATTCTTTGAGGAACTTCAGGGGAAGCAGGAACAGGTGAGTGTGGGAGGCTGTGCTTTGTATATGAATCGGAAACTGTGTTATGCTTCTGTAAGTTGGTAGAGGAGGTGTTTAGTTTTGATGGGTTTCTGGTTTTGATGGATGCCAAATGAAAGGTTAAAGACTGGCTTCAAAATCTAGGAATGGGGGAGAATACACAAGTAATGGATGGTGATGATGATGATGAGGCAATCCCGGTACAGCATCAGGATGAAAGTTCTAAGAACAGGTAAAAAGAACTGCTGCCTTCTTTTTTTTGGATGCCGTCCACTGGAAGGCGTCGTGCATGATGGCTCTTTCTGCATCGCTCTCTGGATTACTCGCTGTTTGGTGGTTCTTATAGTTCTTATAGGTGGGTTTTCTGTTCAGAGATGTTCCGTCGAGTGCTGCATTGAATGTGTTTCGTCCACCATCCTTGGGAAGGCAGCAGTCCATGTCGGATAGAGCAAAGGTATCAATGCAACAGTATCTCAACCATTTTCTGGGGAATATGGATATTGCCAACTCTCGAGAGGTAAGCTTTTGTAATCTTTATGGATATATAAGTGCCACTTACTTCATAGGATTAGAAGTGTCATTTTGAGCTGAATCACCGCACAGATGCATATTAGTGATACATGGTTGTTGAACATCTTAGCTGTAAGGTGGTGTAGCTACATCATGTATTGTGTTCTTAGTGCATTGCATTTATGCTTATATCAGTAAGTCAATATTTCATCTCAAGGCCTTGTCATGTCTGTACACTCATTGTCAAAAATATTTCCATGTGGCGACTGTCAACTGATTCTGGAGCGCTCTCTTTTATAGGTGATAGAAGTCCACAGTTATACAACATGATAATAATGTCAATTCCTCAGTGCCAGGGTCATTCGTGTGCTGTCCATGCTTCGTCAACTTGTAATATGCAGAATTGAGATTGTGCTGTTGTCCATACCAAATTATGTGGGCATGCCTCATTAGTTTGAAATTCCCTCATTTGTTTTATTAGTTGCATGACTCACTGGATTGAAATTATTGTTCAGTTTCATCTGCTCTTTCTTTGCTTCTAGGGGTACTCTTTGGGTACAATCATACTGCTCTCTTGGGATGCATTTGTTTCTCAGAAAGAGTACTCTGATTGATAAGATTTTACATCTCCATCAGATATCAATACTTTGCCTTTGGGAACTTATACTGCAGGTTTGCAAGTTTTTGGAGGTTTCTAAGCTATCATTTTGCCCTGAATATGGACCTAAGCTTAAAGAAGATTATATTATGGTGAAACATCTGCCAAAAATCCCAACAAATGAGGA